AGTATGGCTTGAAAAGAAATTCTATTAAGTAAATTAGAGAAATGAAATTATGATACCATTTTCAATTAATCGCAAAGTTATTAATTGTATTATTGTATATGAAAATTATGCAGAAGTATCTGAAATAACAATTGAAACTGAAAAATATGAATTAAATTGCTTATTTTTTTTAGATTAAGAATAATTTATATCAGAAACTGAAACATCAATTACTATTTTCCCAGAACTTACAGTTGCTAATAAAACAATTGATATTGGATTATTAAAAAATACAAAAATTAGAGTATAATCAACAAGTATATCTAATGTAATTAGTTATAATTAAACAGAAGAAGCATAATTTAAAAATGGATAACCTTATTCATTTTAAATGAGAAATCTTTCAAATTTAGATAAAACAACTATTAATGTATTTGGATAGATTATGTCAATGACAGAAAATAAATTATTAGATTTATAATTTGACTTTTATATTAATTATTAATATGAATCAAGACTTAGCAAATAATACATAAAACATTCTTAAGAATATGGATATGAATTAATAGTCATAGGAAGAAATGGTGAGATATATGAAAATTTATTATTTGAAATTACATTCTGGTCTATGTACAGTACACAATCAACTACAGCAAAATTAAAAACTAATGATTAAGGTAAAATATTATTAGGGCAATTAGAAGGTATTATAAAATTAAGTTCTAAATGTTTATCTTCTAATTAATAATAAGTTCCACCTGATTTGAATTACACAATACTTAAAACAGATTATTTAAAAAATACTATTTAAATTTAACATTTAAAAACAATAGAGAATTAGTTTTTATAGACTATTTCATTTTAGATATAATAAACAGAAGAAAAATATTAAGTTATGGTAATTGCTTCTTAATTTATACATCCTAATAGTTAGAATATTGAATATGCTTAATATTTATAAAAAAATTAATTTAAGAAAAATGAAAATCTTTATTTAAATGATTTAATTGATAATTAATTCAAATCAAATTAATATGTTTAATTTGAAATTGCATATGTATAAAATAGAAGAACTAAACCTGCTTATATAGGAAACACTCTTGAAAAGCCTAGTGTTTTATTGAATAGAGAATTTGTATAAGAAACTACAAATGTAGAAGAATGTTAATCAGATAATTAAAATGAGGAACCTTAAGAATATGGTGAAGAAGATGATGAAGATCGATGTAGTGATAGAATGGAATGTGAAGCTCCATATGAGAAAAAAAAAATGAAGAAAAAATCATCAAAAAGAAAATAAATAGCAGGAGACAAAGGAATCAAAATATAAAAATAAATTGAAGTTACAAATCATATGAATTTTTTAAAAAGATCTGCTTAAATTATAATAGTTAAACAACAAGAATCTAATTAATATGAATTGACTTTTCCAGATTATATACAATAAGTTCAAATAATTGTAATAAATGAAAAAAACATTTAAAATAAAACTATAGGCTTAAAATCTAAAGATCCTTATTAAAAGGATATTACACATAAATCAAAATTAGAAATAGGAAAATTCTATTCTCCTTATAGAGAATCAATTATTATTTCAAAAGGTTAAGAATATTTATTAACTGATTGTGCAAATACTCAATATAAAATTATTGATTCATATGAAGAAGCTTGTTCAATAATGAAAAATATTTCTTAAAATTGTGATCATTCAATATTAAATATATATTCAACTTGGAATAATAAGAATTTAGAAGAAAAACTTAAGTTATATAATAATTATCAATCAGATGAATTTAATTTATTTTTATATTTTAAAGATCCTGCTTTCTTTGAAATATATATATTAGGTTATATAAGAAACAAAATAGAAAAATCATTTATTGATTAATTTTTACTAAAAAATGTATAATACCTTTCACAACAAGTATCTAGTGGAAGATTTACTTAATTGAATGCATTAGAATAGACTCTATTATTTATATTTTTTAATGAAATTTAAGAAAATAAATTATATTCAAATAGAATAAAAAATTGTTTATATTCAACAATTAAAAATTATGAAATAAAATAATTGGAAAGAAAATAAACATTTGATACAATTATAGGTGGAGAAGGTGAAGAAAAAGGTTTAGAATCAGATTGTGAGAATGAAGATGAAGATTATTAAGGAGCAGGAGGAGGTGGAGGAAATGCTATTGAATGTTGTGAAGATGATTGCTATTATGATTGTGAATAAAATTATTGTGAAGAGGAATGTTAATATTAAAGTAAAGAAGTAAAACGTGGTAGAAGAACTTTATAAAGGCATAGTTACAATGATTATGATGATTGTAATCAATATGATGTATACAGGGAAATGAGCATTTAACCATTTAGAAATATTAAATAAACATGTGAATATTGTGAATTACATTATAAAGATCGTTAAACATTATAGAATCCTGATTTAACTACTTATAATGATTTTTATCATGATTTAGTTGAACATTCCATATCTCAAGGCGTAATTGATAATCCTTTTGTTTCTTCGAAATTCATTTATAATAATCTTGGAAATAATCATGATCTAATAATTACAGCAGCTTTATTAGGATTACCATATACAAATTTAGTTTAAGTAGAATAGTAATATATTGAAAAAGATTTACATATTAAAGCATAAACACCTTGTATTTTGTTAAAGAAATAATTAAAAGAATTACCAAAATAAATTAATAAATAGATATTAGTTATTTAAAAGTTTTATGATGATAATAATAGATATATAAAAAAAGATGGAGAAAATATTGAATTATAACCTTAAGAATTTGAAATTAAAAAAATATATCAATGTGAAATTGTTATTACTAATTGTTCATCTAAAAAATTAAATGTATTTTTATTATTAGAGATACCTAATGGATCACTTCCATTTGATCAAAATAATTATTCAAGTATAAATACAGTTAGTCTTAAACCTTATTAATCACGTACTTATCATTATTCATTTTATTTTCCAAATATTGGAAGTTTTTCAGTTTATCCTGCAGTTGTTTCTACTGAAAAAGCAGTTATTGCAGTTGCTGAGGAATACTAATTTATTGTAGTAGCTAGTTCTTAAATATTAAATAAAGAAAATCTTATGGATATAATATAAAAAGGTAGTAAAGATGATATTCTTGAATATTTAAGAAATAATAGTGGAGTAGATTTATCTTAAATTAAAAAATATTTTAAAGATAGAACATTTTATTTTAAATGTTGTGAAATACTTAGAGAGAAATTAGAATTGAAAGAGGAAATCTTATAATATTGTTTTATTCATAATGATCTTGAAGGACTTAAGGATTATCTTGCTTTAGAAGATATATAAGAAATCCTTAAAGAATAATTTGTATATTTAAAGACTTCTTTAATTTAACTTAATTCTGTAAGATTTTATGAATATTATCCATTATTAGTAAAAAGAGTACATACATTAGCTAGTATTGATTAAGGAATATTAAATGTTTAATTGAAATAACAATATAAAGAATTTCTAAATTATCTTGTAATAAAATAAGATTTATCAATAACAGATAAAATCATATTTTGTTATTATTTATTATTATAATCAAGAATAAATGATGCCATTAAAATATATTAGAGTATAAATTAAAAATTCAATGAAGATGATCCAATTTTATAATATGATTATTTAAGTGCATATCTAGATTTATATATTGGATATCCTAATTTTGATGGAGCAAGATCAATTTGTGAAAAATATCTAAGTTATCCAGTTATTGAATGGAGAAATCTCTTTTATGAAGTAATGAATTTATTAGCTGAATTTGATGGAGATGAAGATAAAATAATAGAAAAATAAACAGATGAACATTAATAAAAAAATTAAGATCAAGCTAATAAAGAAGAATAATTGTAATTTGTTGTTGAAAATGATCAAATTAAAATTACTTATTCTAATCTTCATTAAATCTAAATTGAACATTATTTAATTGATTTAGAAGTTATCTTCTCCAAGAATCCTTTCTTAAGTGATCAAAATTATAATAATTACACTTATACTAAACCAATTCATACTTCAAAACATACATTACAATTCAATTAAACTTAATAATAAATGATAATATAATTTCCTGATAATTTGAAACATAAAAATTAAATCATTTAAATTAAAGGAGATACTAAAATTGTAAGTCATCATTATATTGAAACTAAATTATAAATAAATATAACTGAAAATAGTGGTTAATTAAGAATTTCAAATTAAGAAGGAAAATACTTAGAAAAAATATATATCAAAACATTTGTAAAGAAAAGTGATGGTTAAAATATATTCTATAAAGATGGATACACTGATCTAAGAGGTAGATATGATTATGCTACTCTTGATTCATAATCTTTAGAAGAAGTATCTAAATTTGCAGTTCTAATTGTAAGTAATGATTTAGGTAATTAATTATGATCTATTTAAGGTTCTATGATTAAAGAAATTAATCCACCATCATAAGTAGGAAATTATGGAAGAGAAGTCAAACTCTAATCTAAATTATGGACAGGTAAAGCAAAAATGGAATAAGAAAAATAAGAAATTATTTATAAATCTAAAAAATTAGACAAAAAAAAATGCTGATTTATCTATTTAAGTTTAAATCAATATAAAATTTAGTCAATTATCATATATTCTTTATTTCTATCTTTATTTTTTAATTCAAAAACTATTTTTATTTAATACTTATTTTATTCTATTCTATACTAAAATTAAATAGAAATCATATATACAAAATACTTAGTAAACTATAATTTATTTATTAATGATCTTTAAATATTAAACATACTATACATCATATATTAAAAACAATAAAAATTATCTTTTTACTTTCTATTTAGGATATCAAATCAATTAAATACTTTTATCATTATTAACTTAATTATTACTTAGATTTTGTATCTATAATTATTTAATATCTATCTTGATAATATTCTAAGACAGTCTTAATAGTGATTTTATATTAAATTTATAAATTATTGAATACACAATGTAATAGCAGCATACTAAATTAAGAGCATCATCTGTTCAAGAACAAGGAGAGTAAAGATCGAAATTCCCTAATATTCTGACACCTACATTTGCAGATTGGAAAATACCTAGTGATGCTAGAGCTCATCCAAAAATAAGCAGAAGAAATCCTCTATTCAAATTTGGACTTATTCCACCTAAAAAAGCAACAACACCCTCTTCATAAACTCATTAAAATCCTCATGATTTTAGAGGACTTAAGTCTGAAGAACAAAGTTAGAGAATTAAAGAGATCATTGTTGAAGATAGAGTTAGTACAACAGAAACAAATAATCTTCATTAGTTTGAATCTGAAAAAAAATACTTTTAACTAAGAAATAGATCCATAAGTGGACCTAAACACTCTAATTAATTGGTATTCTACTTTAATTATTTATCATTAGTTAATCGAATGTAAATAATTATTTGATAATCAAAAGAAAGCTTTTGAGGAAATATTAAAATAAAACAGTCTTTACAACAAGTATTACAAAGTTATTGACAAAGAATAAAATATTACAAATTAGAAAATAATGCAAATTTTTAACTTATATAAATGATTATATATAACTTATTTATTAAGGAACAATTCAAACATTTATCAAATAGTCTCATTAATTAAACAATTCATGCTTTTTTGAACTATCAATAAATTTTAATTTTATTTTTAACTCATTTAAATACTTAACTTACAATTCTCTTTAATATACTATCTTCATTATAAATGTTCCATAAACATAGTATCTATATATGGGATATATCGAGAATTCCAAATATCCAGATAGTTTAGCAATATTATTAAAATGTAATTGATGCTCCCTTATTGATATTAATTTAAGATTTTTTTTATTTCTTCTAAGCTATAATAATTAAAGATATAATTAATTTTTGATTTTCTTAAGGAAGGAAAGTTTATTTGAAAATGATTAATATATTTATACTTTTCAATATTAAATTTTTTATTTTCTTTGATACTAAAACTTGAATAAAAGAGATTCAATTGATACTCAAATAAAATTTGATGCTTCTGCTATCTATGAATAACAATAATTAAATAATCTAATTTATAAATACCTAAAGGAATCTAAAATAGATAAAAAAATTTGTCTTTTTGAAGGTGTGAATTAAATTCTATAAGAAAAGGACTATTTTTAAGATATTAATAATAAATTATCATGATAATTTATCAATGTTAGAATTTATGTCTTAATTCTTAGAGAAAGATTGAAAAAATTTAATTTTTTATAAGTAATTTTATAATTAGATACAGTAAAAGATTGTTTATGAATGGATTTTGATTGGATATTTTAAGTTATAAATCTATATAAATAATTAATCAGTATAAACTTTGGGGGAATATGCCTGGCTTTTGATATTCTAAGTCGATTGCCTTTCTGGATTTATTGTATTTACCATAATATTCCATGCAAGTAAATGTAAATCTTTTTATTAAGATAAGGAGTGTACCTGATGCAATTTCCAAATTTAGCAGTTCGTAAATACTCTTTAGAGATTCCAGTTTTGGCAAGGTCATCAGCATAAACAAAAATATCTGAACCATCTGAGTCCATAACAATGAATCCATAATTTTTATTCTCATCAAAGAACTTTAAGAAGCCTGCACTTCTATTTTTCTTTGGTTGATCAAGAGCCAGTTCTTATAGGAGTTGAGTAACACTGACTTAAGAGTCTTAAATGAAGCGATTACATTCCTATATAATTTGATCCCCATCAATATTACTTTCTTCTATCAATTATTGTTTTTACTAAATATTAATGATTAATTTGATACATAATTTCTAGGATAAGAAGAACTCTTCTTAATTTAGGGAGGTTTGTTAAGCATTTGATCAAGTTTGAAAGTATCATAGTCAAGATCATTTTCACTAATGTTTGTTGAGAAATCTTTGTATTCAGATCTCGATGGTGACAAGTATAAATCAATCAACTTCACAGGGAACATTAATAGACAAATAATTAAATATTTATGAATAATTTTTATTTTCCAAATCCTTGAATCGTTGTCTAAAAAAATAAATGTATTTTTTATAATACTAAAATTACCTATATGTAATCAATATGAATAATCTAAGATAATTAATATTTATAAGACTTTTATTACTTTAAGAATTCTGAAGAATTTATAAAGAAATTTTAAAAGTAGCTTAAATTAAATAAGAATTTAAGATACTCTTATTAAAATTATTTAGAAAATGATATTATGTATCTAATAATTAGTATAAAAGTTAAACATAATAAATTATGATGAAAGATAATAAATATACATTCTAATTTTATATATATATAAGAATAGATCTTATTATACATTAAGTCTTTATCAATTTTTAATAATAATATTTAATATGTTTTCTAAGCGATCAACTAAAGTAGTCTTGTTGTCATTTAGTATACGGCAAACTTATAAATTCTCTTAATTAATTGAAACACTATCAAAGATGACCTGCCAACCTATGGATTATAAAATGAAATTCAAGTGATAATCAGTGGTCATCTTATTGCACTAAATATATTTGGGTGGTTTTCTTTTTTTCTTATAACTCTTATATGATATACTTATTATCCAAATATTGTCTCCTTCTTTTACTTATCCCATATTCCAGTTGTAATAGTAAAAAACATTCCATTCTCATTCAAATTAATTTCATCAAAAACTTAAAGTTTTACTCCTATTGGCTTATCATTTATTCCCAAATATGATATAGTTATTGGAATTCTATATTCAGAATCTTAAATTTCGATTGAATTTTACTTATAAAAAATCTATAACAGCTTTCACTATTCACTTCCTTTTTGATTATGCAATTTTCTTTGTATCTATCATAATCATCTATATCCAATTCCTTTGTGAAAGTGTTTAAGTCAAACATTAGAGTAAGTAGATAACATAATAATTGTATATCAGCATAATCCATTAGAGATATATGTAAACCAAATGTCTTATTGATATCATAATAATCAAATTGATCTTAACCTAAAGCTTTGACCTTTGCACCTCTAGGAGCTATAAATTATTATAATAATTGATATACCATATGTATCATAACAATTTTGTAAAAGAATCTCAAAACAATTATCTTAATTATTATCAGCAACTATTATGATTCTTTGATTAGTAGCCTATTCAGTAATTTTTATACAGCACATCTTAAGATTAGCTAAAGTACTATTAGGCATTTAAATTTATTATCCATTTAAGAAATTAAAAAATCCAACTAAATCATCAATTTAAAATATAGTTGCTAATTCATTTTCAAGATTTTACTTGAGTGATTCTAAAAATTAAGTAAATCTTATTTTATTTTTAATAACATAACTATGAACTTAATTTGTAACTTTTTTTGAAGTAGGTTATTATTATTATTATTAGGTTTAATTAATAACTCTTATGATTTATTATATAGATTCTTTTTCATATTCTTCATAAAAGTATGAATCAAAAAATAAATCTAAAGAAACTTAATCAAATTGTAAATCTATCCAACCTTATTATTATTAACCAGTTATTATTAATCTAAGAATAAATTATTCAATAGTAACAACAGTAATTTGACATTCCTCTTCAAAAATCCAAAATTTATTTTATTCATTAAAAATACTAATGGGTGTATGTGATAATTTAATTTAATTATCATTAAATTAAACAAAGGGTAGAATTAAATGTTGAACAAATTTATTAAATGAATTTATACATTTTAATGGACAAGTATAAGGTAAGACAGCTCTTAATTCAGCTACTTAAAAAAACTATATTTTAATAAAAATAAAAAATACATTATTAAGTGCATTAATATCAAAGGTTTCAATTTTATCTACATCTAATTAAATTTTAAGATGATTTCCATGAATTGAACATTAAATTTCATATAAAATATCTTCAAACATAACTTTCTTAATAACAATTATATCATTTTAAAGTAAAATAGTATATTCTCTTCCTTAATCCAGCTCTATATAAATAAATTATGAATTACAATCAATAATTGTTATTTCCATATCATCATTAAATGAACTACTAAGATTAATATCTGGAATTTTTAAAACTTTAACTGTATCTTCAACTTGACCTTAGGATAAGGTTTGTATCAAACTTCTAATTTCAGTAGTACTTTATCTATTAATTTATTTAGGAGGAGGTAAAAATTATAAATTTTATTAATGATGTTCAAATTATTAAGGTATAACATTACCAAATGATAAACGATCATGCATAATATTTTATTATTATTCATATTTTAATTTTATTTTATTTGATTCATTTCCTAATTCTTCAATTTTCTATTTTAATTCATTAATTTCTTATTCTCTTTCTAATCTTTATTATTACATTTTAAGATTTTCTTTTTAAAGTTCAGAAATTCTTTTCTCTAAAGAATTTATTTTAGGTTCACTTTTTTTATTACTAAAAGTTTAAACAAAATGATCAAATTTTGTTTAAATGATATTTTAAATATCAATAGGTTATTATCTTGGAGAATGTACTCTAAATTATTTTATCATTCTTTCTGAACTTTTAGTACCAGATTCCCCCATATCTATTCTAGCTGATTCTGATTAAGCTTTTATTTATTATTATTATTCTTAGATAGTATTTTGAGTCTACAACTTGATTTATCTCATTAGAATATTACATGAAGCACTAATTCTTTTTGCATCTGCTACCTTAATTGATTTTCCTTTTTATCTAATCATAATACTCTTTCTAGATATAGAAACACTTCTTTATTAAGTAAAATAAGAAACTAAATAATGATTTTAATTAAGGAATTTTCTACATATCTTTTAACCATTATGGAAAAACTTATCATAATCTATGTCAAGCATTTCTTATTATCTTTATAGTTATTATACACATTTTCCATAAAATAAATAACCATTCAATAGTAAAATGATGTCGGATGGATTCTTTTACAACTTAGAAGTATTGGTTTTCATCTCTTTAAATATCTTACTGATAAAATATTGAGTTTTACATAAGGTTCATATTTGATCAATGCTCTTTCAACTAGTCTAAAACATTTGTTGTAATTGAATTAACAATAATGAATTCTGGCTAGGTTGAGGTGAGATATCAGAAACAATTAGGGTTATTCATTTAAGTAATGTTTGAGATTGAATTTGGCAAGTTTCTTACTTAGATCAATTAAATTGGAATTGAATAATAAAACAGTCAGAGTATTGAGTGCTTGTGTAATGAGAATGACATTGGGAGAGTGTTTAGCCATATATATGGACATGTATATTAAATCCTAAATGTCTCCTACCAGAGTAATAAAAAAGGAATTACCTTCTTCACTGAGGAATGAAATCATTTGTGTGAGAATAATACCGAATTCCTCTAAATTAATTTGTTGGATGTTACGAAAATTGATGTACTATTTCATTATTGAGATGTCTATCTAAGATTTATTGTTGACAAAGTCATTCATAAATTCAATAAGGTTCATGATTGAAATATTGTTTGACTAAATTGATAAAATATTTATATATATATATATATTTTTTAATATATACTCTATATGCAAAACCAACTTCAATAGTTCCTCACTATTCTTGCCACAAGAGAAGAAGTTATTTTTATGATTCGCATCTTAACACATTAAACTTTAGAAGATGGAAGAAATCTTAGAGAATATCAATATGAAATCATGAAAGGAGAAAGAAAGAGAGAAGAACTAGAAAATTAAGTGTAATTTAATTATTTTTATGATAGTTATTAAACTATAACTGAATCTATACATAGAAAAGTATTTCTACCAAAAGTTGTATAGAAATTTAACAAAATACAAACATATTATTCCAATAAAACTAAAGTAATCAATATTTAATTTATCAGATCTACTTTCCTAAATAAGGATAATAAATTGGATAAGAAAACATTGTTTAACCAAATCTAAGGAATATTATAATCAGTATGCAACATGAGAGTTTGATTTCCATCCTTAAATACTTGAGTAACGTGTAGAAAATGAGAATGAAATTAGAACTCAATCGGGCATAGTATATGGAAAAGTAATATATAAAAGGCTATGGTTTATTCTAGAGAAGAAAGATGTAATCGTAATGAAAAGTTCTTTTCCGAACCTTTACTTATTGGAAATTTTGGTATGAATTATATCAACAAATTGCATCAGAAATATTATTACTTAGCATCATAAAGAAATTGGAAGAATGTTTATGATGTTCTTATTTTAGATGATAATACAAAATAATTATATCTATAAGGAGCAGGTTAATTAGGATATCTATTTAGGTTTTAAGAGTGTGATTGCCAGTATTAATAAATAAAAGAAATCCAATGATGTTCCTTAAGTTTATATACCAATAGAAACAACCTAAGAAATCATTACTACTCGTTATGAAAAATTACTCAAAGATCTTATGGATATGAATTACCATGTTTCCAAATCTATTATGAAATATAATTAATTGCATTAACGCAGAAAAAAGAATAAGGAATCATAAAATAGAATCAAAATAACTACAACTAGACATTCTTAATAAGAGAAAATACTTAATTTAAGTGATTTTGGTAAATTTTCAGCACCATCATCCAGATATAGTAGATCAAGATAACTTAAAACATAATTATCATGTCTATAATCTCCATCTGAACCACATATTAAATAATATGAATTTCTTTTAAGTTTGCGTCAACCTGTTAATTCAGGTCGTTTGATTATTAAATGCATTAATTAAAATTCATGAAATACTTTAAGGAAGCTTCTTTTTCATTGAAATAAAAATTTGGTTACACTCCAGAAGAATAAGCTATCAAACTTTTTGATCAAGCATATCATTATGATAGTTCAATTCTTCCTATAAATCTTCTTGATCAAATTGCTGAATTAAGCTTTCAAATGTATAATTCATCATTAAAATATATGTAGGGAACATTATCCAAAAATAATCAATTAAATTGTTCTGCAATTATCAACTATTGGAATCACTACTAATGTCATACTTAAAGTATTAAATTTTTCAATTATTTTTAGACACTTATTATTACAGATTATCTATTAAAATATGGATGTTCTGGTATAATAGATGATTTGAAAGTTAGAATATATATGTTTAGAAATTATCAAGAATTTAAAATTGATTTTTAAGATCCTATTTATATAACAAGTATCTAATTCAAAAATATAAAGTTCGATAAAAAGCTGGAAATATTGCTAATTAATTAACTAATAGAAAACTTTTATACAAGGAAAAAGAAATAGCAAAACATATTAAACTTAAAATATAAATAAATAAATAAAAAACATAATCATTAAGTAATTAAGATTATAAGTAAACTACTACTACTTTAGATGATATTTTAGAAAATTATATTTTTAAATATATGGATAAATTTAATGATAAAATAGAAAGTTGGGGAGATAAAATAAATGATAAATTAGATTAAATAATTGATAATATTACTATTAATGCTGCATATGAAAGAGATGAAAATGGTTATTACTTNACAAAATAATTATATCTATAAGGAGCAGGTTAATTAGGATATCTATTTAGGTTTTAAGAGTGTGATTGCCAGTATTAATAAATAAAAGAAATCCAATGATGTTCCTTAAGTTTATATACCAATAGAAACAACCTAAGAAATCATTACTACTCGTTATGAAAAATTACTCAAAGATCTTATGGATATGAATTACCATGTTTCCAAATCTATTATGAAATATAATTAATTGCATTAACGCAGAAAAAAGAATAAGGAATCATAAAATAGAATCAAAATAACTACAACTAGACATTCTTAATAAGAGAAAATACTTAATTTAAGTGATTTTGGTAAATTTTCAGCACCATCATCCAGATATAGTAGATCAAGATAACTTAAAACATAATTATCATGTCTATAATCTCCATCTGAACCACATATTAAATAATATGAATTTCTTTTAAGTTTGCGTCAACCTGTTAATTCAGGTCGTTTGATTATTAAATGCATTAATTAAAATTCATGAAATACTTTAAGGAAGCTTCTTTTTCATTGAAATAAAAATTTGGTTACACTCCAGAAGAATAAGCTATCAAACTTTTTGATCAAGCATATCATTATGATAGTTCAATTCTTCCTATAAATCTTCTTGATCAAATTGCTGAATTAAGCTTTCAAATGTATAATTCATCATTAAAATATATGTAGGGAACATTATCCAAAAATAATCAATTAAATTGTTCTGCAATTATCAACTATTGGAATCACTACTAATGTCATACTTAAAGTATTAAATTTTTCAATTATTTTTAGACACTTATTATTACAGATTATCTATTAAAATATGGATGTTCTGGTATAATAGATGATTTGAAAGTTAGAATATATATGTTTAGAAATTATCAAGAATTTAAAATTGATTTTTAAGATCCTATTTATATAACAAGTATCTAATTCAAAAATATAAAGTTCGATAAAAAGCTGGAAATATTGCTAATTAATTAACTAATAGAAAACTTTTATACAAGGAAAAAGAAATAGCAAAACATATTAAACTTAAAATATAAATAAATAAATAAAAAACATAATCATTAAGTAATTAAGATTATAAGTAAACTACTACTACTTTAGATGATATTTTAGAAAATTATATTTTTAAATATATGGATAAATTTAATGATAAAATAGAAAGTTGGGGAGATAAAATAAATGATAAATTAGATTAAATAATTGATAATATTACTATTAATGCTGCATATGAAAGAGATGAAAATGGTTATTACTTTCCAGAATCTTGTATGGATGAAATCACAATTACAAATAATAATAAAAATAATGAAAATTAAGAATAGTCATCATAATAAGATCAAAAAATAATAAAACATTAGAATAAAGATTTATGTAAATATAATAATAATAAGTTAGTGGAATTTGAAAATTAAGATAATTAATAATAGCCAAAACAAGAGATTAATTTACTAGATTGATTATACTATTAAATAATATAGTGAGTTCCATTTTATAATTCTAATTGATTCAAGATAATAAATTTATTTAGTAATTAAATTAAAATATATATGTGTAAGAATTCTGCAATTCTTATTTTATACCATACTCAAATTATTTTCTTTAAAAAGGATTTTCAATAAAAATATGACATAAATGAAAAATACCAGAATATGTATTATATTTACACTGATAATTTCTATTGGAGATGATTAAATTTATATGAATGTATCATTTTAATTAAATATATATTAATAAACTTTGATGATATAATCAAAATATTTCTAAAATACATGATATTTTAGTAATATATTTAACTTGAACATCTTTAATTTTTAAAACTTCAAAATTAAGTATTCCTTGTTTCTTATTTCATTAGATAATTATGGCAATTAGTCATAAATAAAATAATTTAATGGTTATTTAAATCGTTTAGTAATCATGTCTTTGTAACCATTTGATATTATTAGTTTAAATTTTCTAATTCTAATTATGTCATTTAGATTATTTAAGATATAAAGTATGAAATATATATATGTTAATTCAAATAAAACTTTATACTTGTGTCTTATCTGTATTTTAGATATTCTTCCAATTATGGTATTCTAGAGAAAGTTCAAGAATTTAAGTATAGAATTGTTTGAATTTATTAGCAATTTCTTCATTTAATAACTCTTCTCTTATTAATTCTTCAATTCCAAAGGCTATCTTTTCCATACGATTAACAATAATTCCTATTGTTATTTCAGAAATAGCAACATTATTTTTTTATTTATTCAAAATGTTTTGTATCTGTTTCTTTAATTCTAAGATATTATGAGTTCGATCACAATGTACTAATTTATTCAATTTCTTTTCGACCATTACCCATAATTATAGTATCTTTTAATAAAGATCAGGCAAAGTAGTAGGTTTTGAATTTTAATTCTCATTTTCAACTTTGATAAGACGAATGAGAGATTTAGGTTTTTTTGTAATTGGTTTTGTAATACAAAGACCCATTTTAATTAGATATTTAAAAAATATTACATAATCATTCTTTAATGAGTGACTTTTAATACGCGTAATATATCTTTTATGTATTTTTTAATTATTGGATGAAAATATTCAGCATATAAAATTAATTTGATCAATGAGGCTATTAAATGTCAACTTTAGATGGTGAATTAGACTAGAGGGTAAATCCAAATTTATCAATCAGACCTTTATAATCAAATAGTTTATTTCCATTAAATTCTTTAAAAATAAATTATCCCAAAAATTCCTTTTATTTATCATCTAATACAATATTACTACTTTATAAAGCACTTTTAAAATCATTTTCATCACAAAATTCACAAAACTAAGAATTTGTTTTTTTTTGTAAATTCATTTTAATTTATTCAACAATTAACTATCTAAATTTCCATACTTATTAAGCAATTGATAGCATTATATTTTATTATTATTCTTCACTCATTAATATATATTTTCCTATTACATTCTTTAATACACTTTTTATGATACATACATCATTCTATTATTAAGGTTTATAATCAACAAATTATTATGAATTATCCTCAATTAAATAACGAGCTAATAATAATGCTTATTTATTATCTTAAATATTAAATGGATATGCTTATAATATATCCACTAATTCTATAATTGTAATTTCCTATTTTTAATTAAAAAATGAATGAATATCTTCTATTGGAATCTTTTCTTATAATAATTAATATTTTAAGAATTTTCCAATATTTTCAACATCACAAAAATTAACTCTAGGAAGTTTTTATTTTATTTATTCAGTTTCTTAAATAGAATTTATAATTTATGAAGGTTTTTATTCTTCTTTAGCAGATTCTACACTTATACGATTTGGTATTATTTAAGATTTCTCTTTTATTTCATCATCAAATACAATTTTAGAATCTGATCCTACTTTAACAGATGAAATCATTTCATCATCATCTGTTATTATTATATTATTTTTATTTACTTTTTCATCTAATATTTCTTAAAATACTGAAGGAGCTTCTCTTTTATTTGTAAGCCATGATTTTTTTGTTTAATATTAATCTTCTAATTCTTTAAATTAACGTTATTTCTAAGAAACAAGCATTCTCTACTTATCTAAATCATTTTATAATTATTATATAATTCCTTATTTATCACTTAATTATTAATTAAGATTCTCTATAGTTTCTTTATATTTATTTTTCTTTTATATTTCTTATTCATGATCTTTCTTAAATTTTTCAAAATCTGTTTATGCTTATTCATATTACTTTTTATATTTATCTTTCATTGCTTAACATGTCAATAACTCTTATCTTAAATTTAATATCTTTTTCTTTTGTTTTTAATGTGAATTTTAAAATTATCTCAATTATTCTTCTAATTCAATTGTTTGAACTGTTAACTTTTAAAATTTATTCACATCACTTTCAGTCTTTAAAATTTCGTTGAATTACTTGTTTAAAAACTCAAACTTTAATTTAGTTGTACATAATTCGTTCTTTGAATATCAATAAGCACAATACTTCCATTTCTTAAAGTCGCATATAACGTGTACTTTTTTTTAGATTATCAATTTCAATCTATTTCTCTTGTATTAACAAACGAGCTTATTTTAATTTCTCTGCAAGTCTTTAGTTTTGATTCGAAGTTATTTAATCATCAGATACCTCTTAAGTGGTTCGTTTTTCAAATTACTCTTTCTATTATAAATAAATAATTGATTACCTCATCAAGTTTTATCTAAAAGCATAATTATTAGTTTAAATGTTTGAGTTTTTGATTCTCCTTTTTTAATGACATAATTTCTTCTTTCAATTATTCTACATCTTTTTAAAATGGTAGTTAAACTCTTCCTGTTAAAATTTCATTGCTTGGAGAGTCTTAATATTTTTGTGATATTCTTCTCTTATAAAATTAAGATGTGCAAAAATTTGTATTATCTTAATTAAGCACTGGTAATCCATTTGTCATAGATTAATTAAGAGAATATGGAACTCTTTAATTTAATCGAATAGTTCGATTCATTTTAAATTTATTAATAGTAACATTTTAACCACATATAACCAATTTAAAAATATAGATATAATGAAACAGGACAAACTTATACAAATCTTTATTCAATTTCATATAATTTTAATGAATTTTTTTCAATCTTCTTCTTTTTTTTAAAATAATAAAATGAAACGAAAGTGAATAAATTATTATTCAAAATCAATCAAAATTCTTTTCAAGTTGATAAAACACTTCTGAAATCATTTCAATTCTAATTGGTTTCGAAAGAAATGCATCAAATCCCGATTTTTCACATTTCTCCTATTAAGATTCATCATCAAATCCTGATAAAGCTATCAATTTTATATTATCAATTTCTTTATTATTAATCTATATAGAATTTAATAATTTAATACCATTTTACGAATTTTTTCGGCTGCTTGCCATCCATTTAAAATTGGCATTTGCAAATCCATAAAAACATATTTTATATTTAAACTCTTTTATTATTCTTATAACTAAAATTATTATTCAATAATTACTTTAATTATTGCTTATTATCCATTATAAGCTTCAATTACATCTACTTAAGGTATTAAATTTTATAATAATATTTTAAAAGCAAGCAAATTAAATGCTTGATCATCAACTATTAAAATACCAAATTTTTGACTCTAAAGTAATTATTGTATTATAAATTTAGGATCTTATACTTCTAAGGGATCTTTTTATTATAAACATTTTTATAATTAAGTTTTCTAACTTAATGATTAAAATTATAAAATATTCTTTGATTTAGTTTGATCAGCATCTTCTAATGAAGGTTCATACATCTCTGTTTCTGCTTTATCTATAGGTTTTGTGTATAATCTAAGATAAGATGATCTAACAAATAAGGATTATTGATATAATTTATCTTTTGCATTAGGAGATTCATCATTTTGAAAATTACTTAAATGTTAAGAACTATTTTCTTATTTAAAACAACTAACATAATTTGATGATCTATAAGTATTATCTTATAATTTAGCATATATCTAAAATGTCATTTTGGTTCCTACATTTAATTCACTTTACAAATCAATTGTATCTAATGGTCCTAATAAACTTACAAGTTTTTTACAGACCATTAAACCTATTCCAGTACCATTTTTATTTTCTATTTTTTATGATGAGAATGTAGCAAACAAATTAAATAATTTTGGTTTTACTGAATCAGCAATTCCACAACCTGTATCTTCAATTGAGATTGTATATACAAGTTTATTAAAAGACATAGTTGGATGTTTGCCTTATAGAGACTTTCGAATCTAAGAAATTGATTGATTGGCATTTAAAAAACTAATGTTTTTGGAGGAATTACTTCTCTTTATATTTTAAGATTTATCTGTATTTAAAGATTAGACAGTTATTGTTATACTGCCTTTTTCTGTGAATTTAAGAGAATTCGATAATATATTCATTATAATTTATTTGATTCTATTTGGATCAGAATGAACTTGATAAAAAGGAATGTCATAATAGGTTTTAATTTCAACTCCTTTTTATTCTGCTGAAATAGATATGGTTTCAATAACTTCATCTATCAATTCATTAATATAAAAATCACTAATACAAAGTCTCAATTAATTCTTTTCTATTCTTGCATAATCCTATATATCATAAATCATATATAACATAAGATAAACATTCTTTCTAATAATATTAAGATAATATTTCTCTTATTAATTTAAATCCTATTTACTTTCTAAGGTTTCTAAAATGGCAACTATTCCATTTATAGGTGTTTTGAAATCATGAAAAACAGTTGCAAGAATCATATCTTTATTTACACATATTTATTTTTATTCTATTAATTGTTATTAAAATTAAGTTAATGATTTTTCAATTTCTTTATTTTAAAATATCAAAACAAATGCTTCATTCTTATTCCAAAAACAATGATTAAAAAATAATTTCAATCTTTTCTTCTTCAATTCATTTACACACATATTTCTTTAACTTTATCTCTATATTAAGAATTCTTCCATAATTTTTGATTTTTAATTTTTAGGAGTTTCCTCACTTAATTATATAGGAATTCTATTAAACTATTGATATTTAGGAGTATCTATCATAAAATCATGAGCTTAATCAAATTGCTATTTTTTTTGTTCTTCCATTTACTCATCATTGTCATTATTAGGTTCATCTAAATCTTTGAACTTTTGAAACAAAGGACTTTATGCTAAATATTAACAATTATCCATTATTTCTGTAAATATGGATCTAAATCTAGTTTATGGATTGTATAAAAAGTCTTTTGAATTATCAAATAACGTTTAGAGTTTGATTTTATTGTCTGAAAAAAAGTGATTCAAACATTCAATAAATTCTTCTGAATGTGATGTATTATATTTATATTCATTTTCCAAAGCCTTAGTATGATACATAGCCTTCCGAGATGATTTATCTATCACTAATAAAGGCAATGGCAAGATCTCCTTCAATAACATCAAAAGATCATTTTCATCACTTTATTCTTGTAACTACAATTATAATAATCACATTACAATAAGAATTGGTGTAAATATCAATCCTAAATAAGATATTGGATACTAATACTCATTGAATCTTATGATTGAATATATGAGTACTATAAAGTATATTAATTTTTATAGCAATTATACTCTTAGAACCTTAGTCAGGGCTAAAAGTTTCAATATTATAAATATGAAAATTCCCTTGATTTAATAGACTATACATACCTTCTATTAAGTGATTATAGTCATTTCAATTTAAACTATTTACATAACTAATTGAGTTAAAGCTAAATAATAATCTCCTTTTAAACAAATAAACTTTTATTTGTAGTCTAACAATAAAAAAGTCAAAGAAAATATGAGATCCACAATAATAAATAGTCCAGAATCTAATGTATTGATAAGTTAAGTAAGTCCCAAAATCAAAAATAGAATGGATGCAATTAGATTGCATATTATGAATCTTTGTTGTATTCCAATTTTCATAATCTAAGAATAGAAAATATTTAATAAATAATTTTCATATGTTCTTTAACTTATACACAATAAGTAAATGAAACCTATACGAATTTACAAGCGATAATTTATATAACTTAATCAAAATACTTTGAAATAAATATTAAATGATGTGAATTTTTATTAATATTCATTCAAATGGTCTTTGAAAACTTTTTCATTAGTAAATTATTGTCTATAATTTTCAGAATGAATACTAATTAAGTAAACCTTTGTCATATAATATTATAAATTAAATTAAAAATATCTAAGGCATCCATTTTAATAATTAATATTCAATTTTATTAAATAGACGAAAAATTTTTTCTAAGTTGAAAACCTTTAATATTTCTTATTTAAATATTACTTTTGCAATCTTATTAATTCTTTATTAGTTAAGAAGAATCACTTATTTATGATATGATGGAATATAAATTTGATGGTGTAATTTATATGTAAAAAGGAGACCAAAATTGTTGGAAAAATTAATATTTTATTATTATAAAAATCTTTGTTATCAATTCTACATTAAAATAAACCCTATATATCTAAATAATGAGCTAATTTCCTATGTTTTATGTTTACTTTAACACATCCAATTACTATTTCTTTAATCAATAAAAATTATTCATAATTTGTAACCTATTTCTTAATACAAGAGTTAAATAATTCATTAAGATTATCAGATATTATAGATCTTATGAATATCCCATAAAATACAGATCTTGTAGATAAAACCTTTTCTAGATTTTCTTAACCAAACTGTCAACTAAACAAAATTTACTCTTATTTTCAAAATTTAATTCATAAAGTGCTTTGAATTATAATAATTATTGATACATAAATCAATAATGATATTAAATATTATAAAATTGATGTTAATAGATATTTATTTTTATGAAATATCTTATTTTACTGTATGAATATTTCTAGTTAAAATTTCAATTATTTTGGACTAAAGTATTACAATTTATAAGAAATTAGAATGTAGAGACTACTAATCTATTTGGCTCGTTTTAAAAAAGTAAATTTATGATAAGTCTTAAGAAAAAAAATTTAGTAAAATTAGAGTGAAAAATGAACAAAATTGACAGGATTCTAAAGTAAGTAACAAGAGATAAAATTTCAATAATTATTGTTTGAGATACATGTAAGTAGATGAAGAAAGCATATAATATAATAAGTTTATGTAAAACTTCAGCAAAGAGGAGAAATTAGGAGAAGGAACTTATGGTATAGTGACTCGTGCATTTGATAAAAAAAGAGGAAAGGTTGTAGCTATAAAGAAATTGAAATTGGATAGTTGTGATGATGAAGGAGTTCCAAGCACAACTATTAGAGAAATAGCAATTTTATAAAAATTGAAGCATGCAAATATCATAAAGTATTAATTTAATTTTGATTTATTAGTTTATTGGAAGTAAAATACTTTATGTAAGAGAAGAAGATATTATTGATTTTTGAATCAATGTAATGTGATTTAAGGAAATATTTAGATAAGAATTAAACTTTATCACTAAATACTATTAAATTAATAGTCTACTAAATATTATTAGGACTTTCCTTTTGTCATAGTCGTAGAGTATTACATAGAGATTTAAAACCATAAAATATACTATTGAATGAGACAATGACTTTGAAATTGGCAGATTTTGGACTTTCAAGAGTATTTCCATTTCCAATGCCTAAATTTACAAAAGAAATAGCAACTCTTTGGTATAGAGCACCAGAATTGATGTTAGGAGATGATAATTATGGAACAGGAGTAGATATTTGGGCTGTTGGATGTATAATGGCAGAATGTTTAATAGGTAGACCATTATTAGCAGGAGATAGTTAAGTTGATATGCTGTTTAAAATGATGGAAGTATATATTTAGATATAATAAATATTAGTTACTTGGAACACCAACAGATAATTCTTATGTTGGATTATCAAAGTTGCCTCATTTTAAAGTGACATTTCCAAAATTTTAAGGCAAAGATTTAATTGAGGTGATACCTGTATTAGAACATGATCGTAAGGCTTTGGAAATATTGTAATCAATGTTACAATTTAATCCAGGGAAAAGACCTTAAGCAAAAGAATTATTAAAGCATAATTGGTTTGATGATATAAGAAATAATTATTGATTATTGTTTATTATCATCATGATTGCTGTTCTTCTTAGACTAATTTTAATAACATTTCTTAATAAGCTTCTGTCCAATTTTATACATACCAATCATATTAGGAACTATCTGGATTGAAATAATCAAAGCATTCTTCTTTTGACATATCATATTTGGAAGATGTTTATAAGAAACAAGAATGATTATTATTATGTTCGAATTTTCTATTTTTAGTTGATTATTGTTATCCTGTCAATTATAAGAAACTAGAATGAGTTCTAGATTTAAGTTATTCTTCTAAATTAATAGAACCATGATAGATTTCAAAAGCAAATGAATATCTAATTTTCAATTCATCATAGGCATAATCAACACAACTTCCTGGTGCTAAATAACCAATAGCTTATGATGCAACTCCAACATCACATGATGGACAATATTTACCAGATATATCATTAAGAATATCCATCATTTTATCTTCATTTTATTCAGCTATATAAATTTAATGGATTATATACCTGCATCTGTAGAATAAGCATGAGGTGTAAACATTCCTAAAGTACCAGAATGAACAGTTAAGAATATATCTGGATTAAATGCTTTTAATGAATCACGTACTGCTCTTGTTTCAGGTTCAGAAAATGGATTTGGTCCTGATGTAACTTATCTAACATCATCTTAAACCTTTTCCCAATGTGCATCATAATTTCTATTAATGTCAACTCCATTTTCATTTTCTCTTAAACAATATTCTCCTCCTTCTACTTTCTATCTTGATAAAGGATTTGCATTCAAAATCATTCTTAATTCGAAATCATCTAAAATTTATTTGTTTTTTGGGTCAGTTTTTTCAAAACATAAATCATTCAAGAAATGAATTCCTGATTCTGGACTAATCAATTCTCTTGGATGTTCACCAAATAAAATATAAGCTTTATATTATAGTTCAATATAATACCTCTATATTTTTTATTTTGATTTCTATTAATGTTCACTTCCTTAATTAATGGACTATCGGAAGCATTAGACAATGATAAGAATGAGCAACTTCGACTCAAAGATTCTAATTCCTCATTTATTTCTGCTGTTGTGTGGTATTTACTACTGAATTTAGTTGCAAATACTAATGACAGGCTCAATAGGACAATTATTGCAATTTTCATAATATATAATAAAAACGGAACTTAGTTTAATTTCAGAATTGTAATATTTTATTTGCTTGATTGAAAGGACTTCCATTTGTATATTTTATCATTACTGGAGTTGCATAAATTGTTGGTGTTGAAGTTTTAGGTTATTCATATGAATGATTTGATTGATTAATATTAAAATTATTTGTTTGAGGTTGAATTCTCATACTTAATTGTTAATGATGTTATTGAGCTTAAAAATATTGACTAAAATAGTGATTACGAGGTTCAACATGAGGTGATTTATTAAGTTGTTTATAATGTTGACTATTATTATTTCTTATGACTGTTTATTATTTGACTCCTGGTTCACTCACTTAAGTCAAACATCTATTTTTAGAATCACTCTTCATTTATTTAATAATCAATTGCTCAAGCATTTATTTAGTCATAGACTTTTATTATTATATCAATTCTGCATTTAATTATTTTAGTCGTTTAATTTCATCAAGCAATACTTAAATATCATCGTTGTGTTTAATAGTTTTACTCTCTTGATTCTTTGTAATAAGCTTCTTCTTATCAAAATCAAATTCAATTTCTATCTCTTCAGATCCCTACTTCAGTAACTTATCTTATTGTTATAACAATATCTGATTTAATTTCTTCTCTAATATCCAATAATTCCTTTTCCAATCATCCAATTCTAATTCCATCTTCTAAATCATCTCTACTAATTTGGTAACTTTATATACTATGAATGTCTCCTAATCACATTATAAATCTATAGTATCATCCATTTCAATTTGATCTAGAATCTTTAATAAATTATTGGTTTCTATTTTGCAAGGTGTGACTTCTGATTATCCTAAACTCTTTTGATAAAATTCAGTCTCTTCTTATATAACTTGAAGATCATTTTCATCGCAACGCTAATCCTCAAATATAGAATTATCTAAATTGCACTTTAATTACACTATCTCTCTATTATGGATTCGTTCCTATTCTTCATATTTCTCTTCCCACATCTATTTTCAATAATCATAATACTTTTATTTGTCCCTTCAATCCTGAAATCTCTTCTTCCAATTAAAATATCGTTGTCTTCATTTGCTACAATAATTATATCATTTTACTTCTTAATCTTAAGTCTTTTAAATAGATGTTGTTGCTGATTCACAACAAGTTGATTAATTCACTAGCATTGTTATAAAATTAATTATGATTAATTAATACATTGAAATCATTCAATAACTCAGACTTATTAAGATTGAATAGCTATTACTATAAAAGTTAATATACAAATTGGCTAATCAATTAAGACATTTTCAAGAATTTAGAATGCTCAAAAAGTTTAATAAACAAACAACTAGAATTATTCAATCATGTACATAATAAATTAAAGACAATTCTTTATAAGGACTAGAAGTAATTGAATAAATTGAGAAGACTTAATCATTTTTATTAACACTCTCTTATATTATAACAGGAAATATAAAAAGAAAATTACTCATCCAATTTTAACTCTTAACTTTTGGTGCTATAAGTAGAATATAAGCATGCTTTGATCAAATAAAAAATATAATTAATCAAATGGAATAAGGCAAAACAAGCACAAATCCATAAATCATTTCTTGAGATTCTATATATCCATTCATTTATTTTATATTGTTAGAACATTAACTTAGTTTTTTTTTAATATAAATTTTGGTTATGTTATTTTCTTATTGTTTGATTCTTTCAGAATTTTAGTTAAGAATTGAGATTAAATAGAGGGTTTTATTTAACGTTATGTTTGAACTTAAGGCATTAATTTATAAGTTCCTTTATCTTAACATGTGCTTTCATTGTTTGATGATGATTCTTCTTTACTTTATACTCTATCTGATTGAACAGCTTCTAAAGTAATTGACCTTTTACGCAAATCAATGTTGCAATATTTTTGTATTTCAACCTTCTTTTTAATTTTAGATAGTGAAGCACCCTTTGGTTAATAAGGAACTGAAAACTATTTTACTATCATTTCTAATCTCCTAGGATCTGACAAAGAAAATTAACGATAATCACTTCTAAAAGTTACATTCTTAAAACTTGTCATACAACGATGATTCTATCTTGTTATTGACATTTATATAAATATTTATATATATATATATATCACTTTTCAATACATTAAATGAAATATCTTAATTGTTCTTGTAATTAATCCAATGTAGTTACTTCTTCTGCTTCATCCTATTAATTACGTTCATCATTTTAAATTAACACTAATGCAAGCCATTACATCACTTAGATAAATTCATAATAAAATAACCCTTCAAATCCATTAAATTTTTCATCATGAAATAATTCTTTATATGCTGTCTTTATGATTCCTTCTAAATTGTCTCCCTTATATCCTGAATCTTGTATTAATTATTTAATTTCTTCTTATCTGATATGGAACTTTATGTCGGAATTGTCATCATTTCCTTGACTAAATCTTTTAATGAATATATTCTGCATTTAATCTTAAATTTCCTAATTTTTAAAACTTGCAACTTACCCGAATAAAATTGACTAAAATTTCATTGTACTTCATATGCTACTAGAAATTATTAAACTCTTTCTCATCAGAATTAATTTCTATTATTTTATCTACAATCTTCATTACTAATTGATCTTAGGCTAAAATGATATAATTATATATAATATACATTCTACTTCACTTAAATTGTTTGTTTTTTTAAATTATGCTAATTCTACTATAATTACAAAGAACTCTTAAAATTTAACAGACAATTCCAAACTTTTTCTAACATCTTTTGATTTAGTTCCCTATTTATCATATGTTTCAACAAATGAAAATAATTCTTGACTATCTTGAACTAATCCATACTAAATATTAATTTAAATTAAATACAAATTTTAAGAAATGCATAACATCTTAAAATGAAATACTAATTTCATCTTTTTTTGCATGATCTGTATTATAAAGTATGGCATATTAACGAAATACTTCATAAAGTAGAGGCAATTTATCATCCATATATGCTGCAATCTTATTGTAAAAGTTTTCTTCCTTTTTATTAATAATATATATTATACTAAATCTTTAAGTTCAAGATTTCCTTCAGCATTTTTTTAAATGATTGTCCATAATTTTTCAAATTTATATGGACATTCTTCAGCAGCAGATTATTTATTTTTTTAGCTATCTTCTCTTTTTTAGATTTGTTATAATTAGAGATCTTTTTCTTTTTATAAAGCATATTCCATAATCTTTTTTTATATTTCTTATTATGATATAGGAACAGGGTTGAGTCTTGCAGTATGATCAAAATTTTTCATATCCAATGGAAAGATAGATTATTATGGTTCTTAACCTTCTTTTTCTGTTATTGTCTAACCATAGAATTAGAATGTAAATTAACCAAGTGGCAAAGTTATTTCTGCAAAATACTTTTTAAAATTATCTCCAGCTCTATATATAATAAGAATATAATGAACTTTATTTCTTTCATAATGATTTTATCTTTGCTAGGATAATTTTTAGTATCAAATTCATGCATAACTTCAGGAAACATTTTATATTCATATTAAATTAGATAAGTTGGTTCTTAACGATTGATAATTTTCTAATTTAATGGAGCTAATTAAAAAGTAGCTGTGAATTAATTTCTCATTCTTCCAAATGCTTCATCATACCATTCTAAAATTATATATATTTATAATACTTTCTTATTAATCAGTCATAATCCATCCTTAACCTTTTCTTATTTCAACTTATACTAAAGTTTCTTTGCCTTCTTCATCTTCTTTTAAATAATCAAAAATTTTAGCACGTGGTGGAGGAGTTAAAAACATGTCAGTTCCAGGGACTCTAAATTGTAAATAACATGGAAGATAATTAGAATCTGGATTCTTTTTATTTGAATATAATTTAGCAGCTGCTAAAGCAAACCATGCAAAATCATTTAATCCTTATCCAACATTAATGTAGAAGACGAATTCTTCGACTTATACTTTAAATTTCATTATTATTAATTATTTTTATGGGAATTTGTACTAATAAGCAATATACTTAAACTAATGATCCTCCACAAAATCATAGATAGAATCGATTATATTAAAATTATCAACAATTAGCAAGTATTAATCATCCACTAAATGTAAATCACAAATACAACAATTACTTCCAAATCATTCCAGACACTACTGTAGGGAAGGGAATTAAAATGACAAATCAATATACTAGTCGTTTAAGTAGAGAGGAGTGGCTAGAGAAGAGAAAAGAATTTTGGGGTAGAATTTTATAAGTTATTTAAAGAATCAAGAGTTGAGGGAGAGAAAGTTTATTGGCAATCAATACAAAAAGCTATTGAAGAACAAGATGAAGGTATTATTATTTAATATGTAGCAAATGCATTAGCTATACTCAATGCATGTGATCTCAAATTGGTTAATAATTCCATTTAACTACTTTATGACAACTCAATGCATAAATATGATGTCCCTATATTTATGATTAATGAACCTTAATCATTCCCTTCCACAAAGTATTGTGATGCTGGTTTGATTCAAAATTTTCAAGAAACGGAATTAAAAGTATATATTTGTTAAGGATAATCTATTTCAAGATCAAAGTAAGATCTAACAAACTCCCATAAGATTTTGAGGTTCTTACTCATACAAACCAAAGCATAGCTGAATTAAAGACAAAAGTTTAAGAATCTGCTCCTGGATCTGAATAATGTAGATTGTTTTTCAAAGGCAGAGAAATGAGGAATCATCATTTAATTGGAAATTATTAACTTAAAGATGGAGAAGTATATACACATACTATTCATTTTTCTAGATGGTCCAGGCCTTTATGTGATATTACTTATTAACAAAAACAATATTATATTTATTATGGCATTAATTCATAATCAAAATGACATACAAAACATGTTTAGTAAGGCTGGCAAAATTACTTCAGAAAAATATATTGTCTTCTAAAGGAAAGAGGAAATTATCAACAACAGACCAAGATATTTTAAAACTAAATCTTAATCAGTTGCATCTCCAGAAGAAGTCAATCTATAACCTGAAAAGAAAATCCCAGAGATTGCTAACAAAAAATAAGTACAAATTACTGAAGCTGAACTCATTTAACAGAAAAATCAACTTAAACTCTCATAACCATTCTCTAAACAACTCTCTCGATAAGTTGGACATTATACTAAATTAAGTAATGATAATAAACCATCATGTGGTTAATATCATGTAAAATTTAGTGAATTAGATAAGTACTTATCTATTATTATTATCAATAGAGCTGTTCATTCCATTTATGATTATGACAAATCCCTTAAAAAAACTACACCCAGAGATGTAGAAGGAAAATTTGGATAACCAGAAAGCATTGAGTAAACAACTATTGCATTTATTCAAGCAAACCTATTGTTGATCGACCAAGATTTTCTCGTACTTGTTTTACAGATCTAACTAGATAAACTTAAAGGTATATAAATATATTCTACTAAATAGACCTGATATTTTCTTTGGAAGACCTACTCCACATCCAGATAGATTTACATTTTTAAGTGTTACTGATTCTTGGAGTAAAATTCCAAGAACACCAAATGTTCAATTAGATAAATAATTATCAAGAGAATAAATGATTATATATAAAAAGAAACAATTTGCCCCTGATTACCATCCTAATTTCGAATACGGTAGAAAGTATATTATATATATTTTAACTCAATTAGATAATTAGGTAGTTGTGGAGCTGCTTTTGATAAACTCGAAAAAAGAAAAGATATTATGACTAAAATACCTCCATACAATAATGAGGCTTATTTCGAATTTGATGTCTATTCTAAAGATCCATAAAGTAAATTGTTTAGAAATCCTACTGCTCCCAATTTTGAGAAAATGTTAGAAAGGGAATGTGATGGAAAATCCTTATTACCAAGTTTTATGTAGGTAAGAATAATATATTAAATTAGAAATATACTAATACTCGTATGGGTATTGCTCATTTAAATCAAAAAATGTTAGAAGTCAATAATTTTAGAGATGGAAGATTCCAAACTGTTACTTCAAGCTTTCTGCCATCTAAATTTAAAAGAAAATAGAAGCTTGATGAATCTAGCGAAGAAATTGAATAGTTTGAGGACTAATAATGAATTTATTTATTTAAATTTATTAATCATTAATATTTTAATGAATTATTAATATACAATTAAATGTTTCACAGAACATTTATAATTAAAAATAAGAACAAATTCTTTATTATAATTAGTATATAGTTTTGAGATAACAATTATTAATATGAATATGTTTTTTTTAATGTTTAATTAATATTATCATGAACTTGTTTTTGAACTAAATAATTTTGATATTTTTGCAAAATTAATAATCTAAGAATATTTTGTATCTTATTTAAGAAATTATTACTTAATTTTAGTATTTTTTCTTACACAACTTTAAATTTCAAGTAATATTAATTTATCTATTTAAAATTAAAGTATGATCTGTAAAAATCTCTATAATTCAGATATTTTGGATCAAGTTTAGTTAAATAATATAAAAATATCATTAATACATTCTATAGATCAAATCTTAAATATAAAAACCCGTTGAAAAATTAAATTGCTTAGTTTGATGAAGAATAGAGCAATTGAAAATTGGATTATTTAACATTAAATAAAATCTTTGTATAATAAGATGGTATGGATGTTTAGAAAAAATACAGGTTAAGTTATGTTTCTTCTCATTCTTTAAAAAAAATATTCTAACTCAAAATACTACTTTACTTCCAATACAAGTTGGTATTTTCATCTGAAATTATAAGTAATAAATTCTATATTTGAGTGTAATTTGCTCATCAAAGAAGAATGACTTTAATCTCTTGCTATTAATGATATTTCTATAAAAGCAAAAATAGATTTAAGAGAGACATAACCCTTATTTTACAAAATCAGATTGAATAATTAATTAAATACAACAAAAACACTGACTTTATTTTTCTATCAATTTATCAATATTTTTTCAAATATTTTACATTAAATTTGGTATTATTACTTGTTCTTATTGAAGTAATGGGGACATTTATTGATTAATTTCAATAAAATATTTATCACAAAAACGTATTATTTGATATTATTATTATATAATTAAATATAACAGATTAATTTTACTTTTTTATTAATTTATATGATAATTAAATGTCATTATTTATTTTCTGTGAATACAATATATCTCTATCCTAATTTGGATGTATTTTAAGAATATATTAGACAATAACAAGGAATTAAACTCCTTTTTCAAAATTAATGTATATTAGCAATTTTCTAAATCCATACCCATTTTTTATAATACACATTTTCCAATAACATCAGAATAAAACAAATAATTCAAACTTATCATGTGGCTGCTTGATGTTTGAAAAATATAAAAAAGTCTAAGAATTCATTATTTAAAACATCAGGAGACCAGATTTTTTGTGTAATTTTACATTATTATTCTTAAGAATAAAAACTCTGTAATAAATGAATCTTCTAATACAAAAAATTCTTTTAATATTACTATAGTTAGAAAAAGGCTACATAATTATCTACCTAATGATTTTATTTGTTAATTTTGGTTTTTCAAATGAAAATCTACATTTTTAAAATTGTTTTCCCACTTATTTAATAATTTCTAAATTTTTTAAATATATTATCTAGTATATATATTTTACTTGGAGACTAATATATTTGATTTGGAATCATTTTAATTATTGATTAAATAATATATTTGATAATTTATTAATATATATTTCGTTTTATATCAATCTAAACTCCTTAATTAATGACCTGACTTAACATCTTTCTAAATGATGTTGTAATTAATATCCAAAATTAACTTACATAACTTATATATTTTTAATAAATAATTCAACTCTTTTGAAATAAATGCTAGAATATACTGGACAGACTAAAGCAAACTCAGAAGGAGTTCATACAGTTGTAGACTCAGATTTAGAAAGTTGGTAAAAGTAATAATTAGAAATTCAAATTTTAGAAGACCTAAATCTGTTTCATAATAGGATAATAGAAAGCTATTCGAATTAACAAAACATTGTTTTAATGAAAAAATACCATAAGCAATTTGTGATGAAATTCCTGAATTTGATTCATATGATGATACTTTTTTACTAAGACCATCTCTGTGTACAAATAAATCAAGCAAATAAAGCTATGAAATTATAAAGGAGGAAAAACATTAAGAAAAAGAATTGATAACTCCTTTAAACGAAGAAGACAAACATTTATTAATGAGGAGTGATTCAGAGTTATGTAAATTGTAAGGAATTAAAATGAAAAGTGGAGGATTCTACAAAGGATATTGGTACAAAAGAAAACCAAATGGTATGGGGGAATATCTATTTGCTGATTCAAGTAGATATATAGGAGAAGTAAAAAAGATAATATATATATAGTGGAATAATGGTTATGCAAGTGGAAGGGGAGAGTATTATGATACTGATGGTGGACACTATCAAGGAGAATTTTATTAAAACTGCATGCACGGAACAGGAGTTTATAAATATGCAGATGGAACAATCTATAATGGTATGATCATATCTTTATCATTAAGGTTAATGGATGAACGATAAATATCATGGATTTGGTATAGAAATAAAAAATGACAGCCAGTATAAGGGTAAAAATAAATTATAAATTAGGCAAGTTCCAGAATGGTTTAAAACATGGTTAAGGAACTTTAGTATTTTCGAATTAGGAACAATATGAAGGTTAATTTATAAATGGTTTATTTGAAGGGAAAGGGATTTTTGTAAAAATTCTATTTTTATCTTTAGCTTTGGCCAGATGGAAGAAGATATGAAGGAGATTGGAAAAAAGGGATGATGCATGGATAAGGAATGTTACAATGGCCAGATGGTAATATACTGTTTCTAAATAGGTCGTATCTATGTAGGATAATATGTTAATGACAAGAGATAAGGATTCGGAACATTTCAATTTGCAGATGGTCGTAAATATGTAGGTTAGTGGATGAATGGATTATAACATGGATCAGGAGAATTTACTGAATATCATGGTTAAATTACGAAAGGAGTTTGGAGAGATGGCAAATTGTTTTCACTTTTTTGATTATATGATACTAATATATATATCTCATAATTTTGGTTATGAATACTTAGCAAGATTATCTGGAGTTGGTGCAGGGAATAAACTAGGTGTAAATAGAGTACTAAATTTATATTATTAATTATTTACGCTTTCTTCATATTTCCTTTAATCTTCATTTATCCTTTTAAGAATGCTTCATTTGCTTATAATTTTCCTAAGCAAACTTTTTCAAAATCATCATCAATCATTGTAAAAGTAGCATCTGCTTATTCTTTTCCTTCTTTTATACTACCTTGACCATTTTTTAAATCAATAACCCAAGATTTTATCACTGGACCACCTTTTTATGTGATTATTTCAAAATTAAATACTCCTTAAACTTTAGGAATAAATTCTTTTCCTTCTCCTCTATCTAAAAATGCTTTCATTAAACCAAAAATCTTTTCTGCTTTTAGATTAATAGTTGGAGTTTATGTTGTTTATTATGTTTAAGTTGTTGATGTTTTTCCTTCTTTTTATTATTTAATGAATTCTTCTTTATTGAAAAAGATTTCAAATATTTCTGAAGATGTTTAAGGATAATATACAGTATCTCCAAAACCAGCTACTTATTCCCATTTATCTCTAACATCTTCAGGTGTAAATGGAGTATCAAAGAAATATCCTTAATTTCTTTACCATCTTAATTTAGAAATATATCCAGCTCCCAATTCATAAATTGCACCTGTTTCTTTAGAATCATCATGACTCAAAACAGCTACAAGAGGTACAACAAATTCTGGTTTTAAATTTGCAAGTAATTCTTTACTCATAACAGTTTCAGTCAATCTACTTGCAGCTACAGGACAGATTGAATTAACTAAAATATTTCTTTTTAATCCTTCTCTTGCTAAGGCTAATGTCAATCCATGAATTCCCATTTTAGCAGCACAATAATTTGTTTAACCAAATACACCATAAACACCAGAAGCTGAAGATGTGTTAATTATTCTTCCATATTTTTATTCTCTCATATATGGCCATGCAGCTTTTGTACAAGAGTATGTACCTTTTAAATGAACCTAAATATTATTTTATTATATATTACTCTATAAATCAGATCCCAATCTTCATCTTTCATCTTTTCAAATGAAACATCTCTTAAAATACCAGCATTGTTTATTAAAATATCAATCTTTCCAAATGCTTTAATTGCTGTTTCAATCACTTTTTCTCCAAATTCAACACTGTCGTAATTAGCAACAGCAACTCCACCAGCAGCTTTAATCTCTTCAACTACTTTATCAGCTGCAGAAGATGAAGCTCCTGTACCTTTCATTGAACCTCCTAAATCATTAACAACAACTTTTGCTCCTCTTTTTCCAAAAAATAGTGCATACTCTTTTCCTAAGCCATTACCAGCTCCAGTGATAACCACTACTTTGCCATCAAATCTCAATTAACTCATATTTATAATAAAACTAATATAAATCCTATTGATATTAGGCATATAATGAACACTTTTAAGAAATCGTGCGTCATATTTCTAAGAGTGATTCAATTATTATTTAATATATGTTACCTTAGCACAAATTATTAAAATAATATTCCCTATCAATTTGTACTAAATTTATATATTTTAACATTATAAATTTAAACAATTGGCAAATGAATTTAATATCTAAAACTTCATAATATATATAATATGAATATAAATATTAACAATATAAAATTCTCACTTTGTTGTTATAATGTTATATATATAAATGAATAAAAATATTTTTTTATATCCATCAATTTTTTATACTCTACTTTAAGTTCATTTGAATCGAAAACAAAAATATTATCAAATATTGAGTATATTAAATAAAAAAAATAATATTATTTAGGAATATACATAAATACTAATGATAATAAAATATTTTAGAGTTTAGATTAGGATTAATTTTAATAATTGTATTTAAAAAATGTCTTACGATACAGCACTTACAGTTTTTTCTCCAGATGGACAGCTATTTTAAGTAGAATATGCAATGGAAGCAGTTAAAAGAGGATTATGCTGTGTTGGAGTGAGAGGAAAAGATACTATTGTACTTGGTGTAGAAAAAAAGGCAGCATCAAAGCTCTAAAATGTTAAAACAATTAAGAAAGTTTATTAATTGGGTAGCATGTTATTTAATGATAGATAATAATTTATGTATGACATTTTCTGGGTTAAATGCAGATGCAAGAATATTGGCTAATCAAACAAGATTATAATGCTAATAATACAAAATTTATTATGAAGATGATCCTTCAGTTGATTACATTGCTAAATTTACTAGCTAATAATAATAAAAATTCACATAAAGAGGTGGAGCAAGACCTTATGGTATTTCAACTTTAATTGCCGGATTTGATAATCAAAATAAACCAAAGTTATTTTAAACAGATCCTTCTGGAGCTTGTTCAGAATGGAAAGCTACTTCTCTTGGGAAGAGTGCAAAATAAGTGAAAGATTTCTTAGAAAAGCATTGGAGAGAAGGTTTACATGAGAAAGATGCTCTTTTATTAACAACAAAAGTATTAAATTATAATATATGTTAAGGCTTTAATGGATGTAGTTGAAAGTGGAAATAAAAACATAGAGTTATGTGTGATTAGAAAGAACACTTGCTGGTTTTTGAGTGAAGCAGAAGTAGAAGAGTTAACAAAAATAACAGCATAGATCTAATGATTATTATAAACATTAAGTAATTGTACAAATATGGTTTTGGTTTATTTTATTAATGACAAGATGATAGTAATTAGAATGAAGAGAGATTAATACATTATTAATTAATTAAATGATATTAATTTTATACTAATAATTAATAATATATATCATAATTTCTTATATTCTGAAATCTAAATTTTAATAATTAATGAAATAGGAATCATGGGATGATTTGCATTTGTAAAATGAAAAATCTATTACTAAAATTTTAGAGCAAGGAGAATAAGTTTTATTTTCTAGTTTACTCTATAAATTCAATGAAGTCAATAAAAGACAAGAGAGAACATTACTAATTACAACTCATAATCTCTATAATCTATCCAAATTGACTGTGAAAAGAAAAATCCCAATCAAAAGAGTTTATGGAATTACTATTGGTTTAATTGGTACAGAATTTGTTGTACACGTGCCTGAAGAATATGATTATAGATATTCAAGTTCTGAAAGAAGAGATTAAGCAGTATTAAGCATTATTAGAGCTTATTGTTTATAACATAAAGGTACTGCATTGCCAGTCTTCTAAAAAGATGAACTTACACTTACAGCATATACTACAACAAAAGTTGATAAAAAAAAGGGTATCAATAGATTACCTACAACTGGTTCAGAATTAATGAATGAAGAGTAATTCAGAAAAAGAATAGATTCTTAATTAGAAGAAAGATTGTAAACTAGAGCTAAGACTTCTACATTATATGCAAAACAGAAAGGTGAAGCAGTAACAATAGATGACTTTGACTTAATAAAAGTTTTAGGAAGAGGAGCTTATGGTAAAGTAATGCTAGTAGAAAAGAAAAGTGATAAATAATATTATGCTATGAAATCAATTAGAAAAGAGGATATTGCTGATCCAGAATAATTAGAACATACAAAAACAGAAAGATTAGTATTAGAACATGTCAATCATCCTTTCCTTGTAAATTTGAATTGGGCATTTTAAACACCTGAAAAATTGTTTTTTGTTACATAATTTATGAAAGGTGGAGAATTATTTTAACATCTTAAACATGTTAAACGATTTGATGAAAATAGAACAAGATTTTATGTTTCAGAAATTGTAATTTCGTACCCTTATTTCATTATAGGTATTAGCATTAGAACATTTACATTCGAAAAATATAATATACAGAGATCTTAAACCAGAAAATGTATTATTAGATGAAATAGGCCATATTTGTTTAACAGATTTTGGAATGGCTAAAATGTTGAAAAAAAATGAATTAGCTAAATCTTTTTGTGGAACTCCTGAATATCTAGCTCCTGAAATATTACTTGAAATTGGTCATTCTTAATCTGCTGATTGGTGGGCATTAGGTATTCTTACATATGAAATGCTTTATGCATTACCTCCATTTTATAATAAAAATTAAGATTTAATGTTTAAATAAATTTAAACTAAAGAAATTACATTCCCAACTACACCAACACTTTCCAATGAAGCTAAAGATTTTATTTATAAAGTACTTTATACATTTTATTTTAGTTAACAATTAAAGATCCAAAATTAAGATTAGGTACATCTAAAATTGATGAAGTAAAAAATCATCCATGGTTTAAAGGAATTAATTGGGAAAAACTATTAAAGAAAGAAATTGATACACCTTTCAAACCTTAAATCTAAGGAGATGCATGGATTGATAATTTCGATAAACAATTTACAATAGAAGAAGCAATAAATTCATATGCTCCTGAAAATAATTTAGTCAACCAAGACGAATTTAGAGAATTTGACTATTATTAAAAATGAATTGAAATACAGATTTCAGTATAATAGAATCATTTATTTATTATGAATTTGTGCTAAAGTAGTTCTTAAGCAGTAGGTCTTAATTTGTGATCCCTTTATAAACATAATCTAATAAACTAACTAAGAATTTCATCTAAATCTTCAGGTATCCTTGGTAGAGCATTTTCAGAAATTATTAACAGTAAAGCACTTAAAGGATTATCGAAATTATGTTCATGCCAAGGTTTTTTTGCTGTTGCCATCTCAAGAACAGTACAACCAAAAGACCATATGTCACTTGCTCTACAATTTTCATCTTAAGTAGCTACCTATAGAATTAAGATATTTTCATACTTCAGGTGCCATATATGGTATACTTCCTTTTAATGAATATAATATTTCTCTCCCTTGCTTAGATCTTGATATAGTTTTCTCTTTTATTTTACTACATCCAAAATCTCCTAATTTCACTTCACCATTCACTCCTAATAATACATTGCCTCCTTTTATGTCTCTATGTATTATATTATTATCATGTAGATAAGCAATTGCCAATAACAATTATTCAGAATATGTACGAACTATGTTTATATTGAGAGGACCAAACTTTTCAGTCAATTAGGTTAAAGTTCCTAATATTATTATGAATATTAACCTTAAGACATATACTCTAAATAGAGTAACCAATATTCTTCATTTTATTAACTCCAAGCATATCTAATTATATTCTTGTGTTTTATTCTCTTTAATAAATCGATTTCACTTTTTAATCCTTATAAATCCTCCTATTCAAAATCTCCCTTTAGATTAATTTTCTTTACAGCATAGATTTTGCCTGTTTTATTTTCTTATGCTATGTATACTTATCCAAAAGATCCTGCACCTATCATCTCTCCTTCAGTAAAGCTTGGATTTTAAGTAGAAAAATTGAATTATGAATATGTAGATGAATCATTAACAAATTTATTTGAACTACTAGATTCTATAGCTTATTTTTAAGAACTAGAGAAGGATTAATTCTTCATTGCAATAAATCTATTTTCCATAAATGATTCGATTTGTGATGCAGCCTCTTCCTTTATAATAGTATCATCCTGAAAGTCTTTGATAATATTATTTAATACCATTAATTGGAAATTCAATCATCCTAATAGCTGGACTTTAAAATTTATTCATTTCTTAAGATTCTGTATTTGATTTAACAAATTTGACTTGATGATTACAGAGTTTTCTAATAATCATTCCTTAAACTTTTGATTTTTTTACTGATGAATAGCTTTTCTATTTTTATGCATTATCTGTAACTGGTCTATTATCTTCTTTTTTCTCAATGGATAACTTTTTCAATGTAGAAGGTGATCTAAAGGTTAATGGAATTTTTGTTGTAATGGAGGGATCAATTTGTATTCTTGGAGAAAGAAGTGGAGGTAATCCAGTGTTATTAGAAATCTTTGGTTTGCTTTTATCTAGAACTCATATTTCTTAAATACTTTATATATCCCCTCTTTTAAGAATCGAATTCATTTTGTAATTATTATATATTTTATTATTACCAATTGATTACTTCAATAATTTAATATACATTCTTTGATAATAATAATTAATTCCACTATCTTTTATTTACAAATTTTTTGATACTGTTCCTTAATCAAATGTATTTTTATGAAAAAATTTACTATTTCATAAACTTATGTATTTGAATTAATTAATTAATAAAATATTTAATACTGATTCTAGTTACTTAAATTATAATTAATTCTAATTCATTTTTTTTAACTATTCTAAATATTTATCATAATAATACTATTTAAATCATTATAGATATTATGATAAATTTTATTTGATTTATTTAACTTTTTAAAAAGTAATATGTTAGGAATTTATACTTTATATTAAAATATTCTCCATCATCTTAAATATATATTAATTTTGTCTTAAAAACAGATGATTTAACTTATTTATATTTCAAATTTATTAAATAAAATTACAATGTATCACAAAAGAAATGAATGACTTATATATATATTTAATTTATTCAAAAATTTATTATTCATTAATAATTAATATCTCCAATAGAAGTTTGCTATTCAACTAACTTAAAATAACAAATACCTTTTTTAAATAAAATAAGATTTTTCTTTATTATAAATTTAATTAATTGACTTTGTTAAAAACAAAATGGGAACATGTGCTTCATGCAATTCAAAGATTGAAATTGTAGAGAGCGATACTTTGATATCTAAATAAAGTGTATTTTAGAAATTAAAAGAATTAAATCAAAATACGAAATCAACAATTTTTATGACAATGAGAAGTAATAAAAAGATTGAAAATGAAAATTTGGCTGATCAAACGTCTTAAGTAAGTGAAATAAATGATGAAAAATCAGATATAAAGGACATACATGGTAGTGTAAAATTAAGAAAAAGAACATATAGTTTTCAAGAATAGTAGGTTCATTTTTTAATCAATGATTAAAATGATTCTGCAAAAGTTAGATGTTTTAGATTTACAGATCCTAATATTCCAAGAAATTTATCAAATTCTTCAAGTTCCAATAGTCAATTTAGAGAATTTAATGCTCATTTCAAAATAAATGACAAATAAATTATAGAATCTGATGAAAATAAATCAATAAAAAGTATTCTGAAAAAAGTGCCTAGATAAAAGAGTGAAACAAAATCAGTCCATTTTGCAAAATATATGGCCATTAGTCAAATAACAAAAAAATCTAAATCATGTCATCACAAATAACATAAAAAGAAAAAGAAAATTTTAAATTAAATTCAAAGATATGAAAATTATTAATTTTGAATTTGTATTACTTCTTTGATTTACTACTCTTTTTTATCCTCAATTTTAGGACCAATTCCAAGAAATGTATCTTAAAAGTTATAATATTCATATTCAATATTTGAAATATCATCAAAAGCTTTATTATTCTTAAAAAAATTTAATAGAATATATAAAATTTCAAGTTATTTCGTTTCCTTGTAACTTAAACTAAAATATCTTTTTTATTACATCATTTTCCTTATCACTTTTGAATTTTAAATCTTTTCTAATGGTATTATCTTTATTAACTTGTATTTACCTATACTATCTAATAGATCTAAACTTATCTATTAGTCAGTTTATTCTTACCTTAAATTGTCAATACTTATGCATTCATATCAAATAGATTTATATTATTAAAATATTTCATATTAACATTTTGGATATTTAAGGTAGATACTTACAATTATTCATAGATCCTCTTCTATTAATTTCAATTAATTTTGTATTATTATTTTATATTAGTAAAAATAGACTATTATATAGCATATTTAGATTATTCTAATATTTACAAAAGAGAGTGATAGTAAATAATATTTAGAAGAATTTATTGTAATAGTTTATTATTTAATAATTTATTACTAAATTAATTTAATTTATCGTTAAATGTTTGTTTGTTGTGGTAAGAAGAAGAAGGATCGTAAACATTTATCTTTAGGAAATCTAAATTAGTTAAATTTAATTTGTTAAGATGGTCTTTATTTTGATAAGAATCTTAAGATAATAACAGAATATAATAAAACTAATGTATATTAATTGATTATATATAGGTAAGTGAAATAGGGAATAAAGAATGCAAGTATTACTGTCCAATCTGCTTCAAATATTATGATTGTATGGATAATAAATTAAATTAGGTATGTTACGATCAACTTGTTGTTCGAATTATGTTTGTCATATCTGTGCTGTTTAATCTTTAACAAATAAAATGTATAATTGTCATTATTGTCGAAATGAACATTGTAAATATGTTGATGTAGATCCTAATCAATAGTTAAAAATATATACAGATTCACACTATAAATTATGAAACACTTATAATAATTAATATAAATGAATCAGAACTAAAAATATTAATATGTTATGATATGTATCTAATGCATTAATCATTCATCAATGGATTTTGAGGCATAATTGATTTCACAATTATATATTGTTTGTAAATCCTTATTATTAAGGGTATCAATAGAATTTAATTGTTGATAGAATCTTAAAATATATTAAAAAGTTTTTACTAATCTTATTATTTTGAGTCCTTTATAGCAATTTTTCCTAATTATTTGAACTTATTTTAAAGGATTCCACTTAAATCACATTAAGTATTTCTAGCATGACCAGATGGGAACATAACAAATTGACTATCTAAATTCTTTCCATCCTTCAATAAGATTTAAACTCTTGTTGGAATACCTTCAGGATATTTATCATCATATTCTTTTCCTCCATGTTCAAATTCTGTTAATGCCATAAGTTTCTAATAATATATATTAATATTATATACTCTTGTATCCTTATTTCTAACAGCTGCATGACTATAATCATATGGTGAAAGGAAAAGAGCTTTCCAAATTGCATTTAAATCATTAGTACTAGATAAAAGTTAATGGAATGATTTCTCTGTGAATGCCTTTCTCAACATTGTACCTAAAATGTAAACCATAGAATGATCAGCTGATTATCTTGTATGTGGATCTCTTTTAGCTGGATCACCAATAATACCAAATGCTGGTTCATAAGCAGTAACTTTAATTTTATCAACAGAATCAATTGAATAATTTTGAACAAATTTAGTATCCAAAATTAATTTTTATAATCCTTCCAAAGCACCAGCAGATTAATGTTCATACAAACCTAATTTGAAATGCATTCCCATAACTGCAAAATCATCTCCACTTAATGAAAGTGTAATATCAAATGGACTATCTCCTTTAGTCTTTTAGAATAATCTGAAAATAGCTTCTGGATTACGGAAGATATCAGCTGGACCAATAAATCCATTCATTGATCTCTACAAACATTTAATAGCAGCTTCAGTAGAAATAGCAGCAGATGCACCTTTTGAATCAGATAATTGATGTCCTGCTCTAATAGCTCTGAATGGAATGTAATGAGCTACAAACATACCAATTGCTGATTCTATTTAAGCTGGAGTAGCTCCTAACAATGCTCCATATGTACAAATTGATGCAATTGCTCCATGAACAACATGATCTATATAATATTAATATTATCTATACCAATTTTATATGTTTTTAATGAAAATACTTCAGCTAATCTTCCTCTAATTTCATCACTCAATACCATAGCCTTAAGTGCTGTCTTTCCATCAATAGTTGCATTTTATTAAGCAGCTGCAATAACAACTGGATAATAATCATTATGACCAAATTCACCTGCTCTTCTTAATGGACTACTAGCATCATATCCAAACACTGTGCCATTTGAATCCCATTCTCTTACAGCAGCAGAGTTGGCTACGATTGCATTTGTGGCTGGCACCCATAAATTGCTTCCAAAGACTTTTGCAAATCCAGGTTTTGGTTTTGATGCTGCTCCTGTTTTGGCTGCCAATGATTTGGCTTCTTAACTAATAATTATTTCAAGTATTCATACGCTAAAATAGTTGGAGCATTTGTTTTCAAAGCTAATGCACTAACACCACAGAATACTGAGTCTGTGTGGAAGAGTTTACATCTCTCAAGGACTTTTACACTTGGATTACCATTTTTCATGAATTCTATGGCATACTCTCCCAACTCTCTTGCTTGATTCTTGTTAGCTTTTAAGACAACTTGACTAAAGGCACGACTAATTGTTTGGGTTAACATAAATATCTTTTTTATTTTACTACATATTAAACTCATTCTCAATTAAAATAGCGCATCAATATGATGAAATTAAATATGACAATTATGCATTTTGACTAATATATTTACGCAATACACCATAATTAATTTTTATATTGAGCACTATCTAAAAAACTACTATTTCTAATAATCTCGATGTAAATAACAAATAATCGTATTTTCTCCATTTAAGTAAGACACATGAAATACTGTTTTATACTATAAATCAAATTTAAAAAGGTGGATATTTTAAATAATTAGACAATGCCAACTACATAAAATTCTAATATTCTAACTGTAATAATTATGTTCATAGTTCTAGAATTCTTAATTTTCTGAATTAATAGAAGGTTTACAAAAGGAAATATAAGTTTAAAGTAATTGTTAATTAAAATAAACACTTGATAATATCAATCTAGATCTTTTAATAAAGGCTACATATGTTCATCTTATATTGATCAAAATAAGAACAATATCTATTATTATAATATAAATTTATTGTTATAAAAAAAGGAATTATTTTTAATGTAATTATTAACTTTATTATAATTACCTTAAATATTATAAGCCTTAACTTTTGTGATTTTTACGTCTTGATTATTGGTTTTAATTATTTTCAAAAATAGAATAATTAAATAGTTTTTATTTTTGATTGAAAAAATACTTACTTATTTGTTTTATATAATTATATATATATAAATATAAATTCTAATATTATGTAGTCACTTTTTTATGATAATCCATATGATTATGATTAAGACTTTAATATTAATTTGAATTCATAAAATAGTTTTATAATAATCAATAAAAATTATAGAAATAGCATGCTTCTCCAAATAATTTAAAAAACTCTGTTGAAAATTTGTTATATAAGTGAAGATGAGTATATTTGAATTTTAGATGTGTTTAATAATCATTTGTATAAAATTAAAATTTTAATATTTTCCACTAAAATCTCATAGATATGTTGATTATGTGTATTCTGATTGAATTATATTCAAAAGGGTTAGCAAAAGAATATTCAATTTATTAGAATGATGAATAAGTATTAGATAGCTTTTCTTAATTTGGAATAATATTGGGATCAAATATAACCTATGAAAGTCAAACAGATTAACCCTGCTACATAATAAATTAAAAATTAAAGAATAAACAGTCAGAAGAAATCATTCTAGTACCTTAATATAAGGAAGATGTCTTTAGTAATTTTTACAATAATGGATAATTGAATGGAGATATAAATTTTATAGTATAAATAGTACAAATTTAAACAGGTGCAATTGTATTAAGTAATGAAGGAGAATTAATATATTTAAAATTAGTAGAGAATAAGTTCAAATTAACTGATTAAAAGAAGTTATCTATTAATACAGAATAATTTCTCAAACCTATATATTTGTAATACATCTAAAAGACTAATGAATTATTGATATTATTGAATGGTGAGACAATAAAAATAAAAATTGAATTAGAAAGTGAATAAATTTTTGGTGAAATTATGAAGATATATGATGTATTTTTAACGGAATAGATTAAAAGTGTAGCATTTATAGAAGATTTATTATTTGTGGCATCTGGTGAATAAGGATTACATGTTTATTTAGTGAGTAAGAGAGTATTTGAATAGATATAATGTACAATAGAATTTAGAAATATCACAGATTTAAGAGTATTTTAGGAGAATTCAATTTATTTTATATTTGCACTTGATTATGAGAAAGGTATCAAAGTAATAACATTTAATGGTAAAACATCATTATTTTATGAAAATTAAAAATTAACCAATATTCCATTTAGAGGAGAGATAATAGATTTATATTAGAATGTATTAATGGTTGTTGAAGAGAAGGAAAATGAATCAATAATACATGAATTATAAATTTCATATGAAAATAATACATGGAAATTAATACATTAACATACAGCATAGAAATATATTCAAGATATTGAAATGACTGAAAATTATGCTATTATTATAGGTAAAAATGGACATGAAATAATCTATCATTCTTTACCTTCTTATGATATTAATATTTAGGATAAGATAATTATACCTGGATTACAGAAACTCTTCTTTCTTAATAAAACAGAGTCTAATAATATTCAGATGTTTGGAATTACAAAACATAAATTCTTTACTACAAGATTATAATTATTTCCTCAATTTATTAGTTGTTTTTATAGCAAAGAAGAAAATGAGGTTAAATTTACTTATCATTAAAACTCAACTAAATGTCCTGGTTCATCTTAAAATAAGTTATGCCATTTCAAATAAAATTATACAATATAATTTGTTCATCCTGTTCTTACTTCTGAATAATCAATCTATGTTTATATTGTAGGTCTAATAATTGTAGCATTATTTGTAGTGATTTTAGGTTTATTAATTAAAGAATTTAAAAGGTATTAATTTTTTGTTAAACTTCATAATTCAAAAGATTTATACCATTAATAAAGTGGGAGTTAAGCACAACCTACTCATGATATTTATGCTTTAAACTCATTTGATAGTCCATTAAAAATTAATAAGCATACTTATATACCTTCCATTCCTGTATAAAATGACTAAAAGATTGAATGAAAATATAAAATTAAATAATTTTAATTGTATGCTCATAATTCTTTAACTTTTGGTTTATATAGTCTAATCTGAACTTATTTAGATTCTAACCAAACAAGAAGCAATCTTAGATGTCATTAGTACATCTGGAGTAATCTTAGAATAATAATTGACTGATTCTTAATTATGTCATATCGTTCCATAATAATTAGTGGCCCATGATATAGATGATAATTCAATAACCTTAATTGATAGTTATAAAGATGAAATATTTAGTTAGAATTTTGAAATAGGATCTTTTATAGGGAAAATAGGAAAAATTATAAAATTTGTATAAATCACTAATGGTGTACTGGTCTTACAAGATGATGGTTACATAAAATATTTAAATTATCAAAATAACTCATTTCAATTGAAATCTAACTTTAAATTAGAAATAGAGAAATTTGCATTAGAAGGTAAAGTATTTTTGGAATATTTCTATTATCAATCATAAGTGTTATTAATAGCTAATACTTAAACTATAGCATTAGATTTAATTTATGATGAAGATGATCTGTATATTAAGTAATATAAAATTTATGAGTAATGGTAAATCTCACATATTAATAGCATTGCTACAGTTGGTAATATAATGATTGTGGCAATGGATACTGGTATAAAAATGTTTGAATTTAAAGATCATATGTTAAATGAAATATTGATAGAAATCAAATAAATTAATCGTATATCTGATATTAAGATATTTAATAAAAAGAATAATGAACTATATTACATTTATTTATTAGATAAAATTTAAGGACTTAATCAATATATATTTAATACAGTGACATAAGAACTTTAACATAACACTAAATTAGGTATTATTCCATATCCAGGAGAAATCCTAGATATATATAATGATATCTTAATGATAGTGAAGGATGAATATTTATATGAAATACATATAGATTATAATAAAAATTAATTTACACTTATTAAATAGCATTATTTGGAAACAGAAATAATTGATATAGAATTGACTGAATAATTTGTAATTGTAATTGGTAGAAATGGTCATTAAATAATATTTCATTCAATTCCATCAACATATTCTTAATTTGAATGGATGAATCAATTAGTAATACCTAATTTAAAATAATTATCCATATTATCATTAAATTTAGATTCATAAAACTCAAAACAAAAATTAAAAACAACTTCCTCTCATAATATTATTATTGGAATTACATAACATAAATTCTTTTATTCAAAAATAGAATTAGTATATATTTTTAATATTTTAATTAGGAATAATCTTTTATATAATGCTACTCAGATGAAATCACTTCTGAAATTTAATTGAATTATTCACATAAGGCTACAAGATGTAAAACTAATTTGAAAAAGAAAGAATGTGATCTATTAAAAACTTATACAATCTAATTTGTAGATCCTAAAGAGTTTGGAGGTAATAAACAAACATATTTTTTAATTATATTATTAAATTTAGCAATATTGTTACTATTTATTTTATTTATTGGATCTTTAATATATCTCTATAATAAATACTAAATTGAACCCTAAGGAAAATACGTTTAATAAATGCCTGATGTAACATCATAAAATTGTAAAACTGATCATAGCAATTTTTAAGTTGCATAATCAAGCAAATTAGTGCCTAATTCTAGAGATGATCAAACACCAATTTCTGAATAGAGAGATTAAGTGAATTAATAACTTCGTAGTAATAGACCAGTAACACAAGAAAATGTTGATTAATCTCCTGGACCATTTGAAATCAGTTGAATTACAAAAATTATATTTTTCTATTTTTAGTATAATATTATATAATACTAATTATATATATATATATTAATATTATATGTCAACCACGTTAAAAGCGTTAGGCATAGAGGTCTTAAATTTCACAAAATCTCGATAAGAAGAAGCAGTCCATACTCAATCTTCTTTAAGAATTACTCCGTTTCTTAAAATTGATTCCGAAACGTTTGATTGGAGTACAATCATTGCTAAGCCTGAACTTATTTCAATTAAAGGCAAAAAGCATGAATAATATATAAATGCTGAAACTATGGAGGAAGACTTATTATAAGGAGAAGTACAATGGCCAGTATAGTATTTCAAAATTATTCAAATTAGTATGCAGAAAATTCAATTTATCTGTTTTCTTCTACAAGTCCATTTAGATTAAGTTTGTTGTAGACATTGAGTTCTTAGAAATTAGTCATTTTTATGAGATTGATTACAATAATAAATGTAGCAGCAGTTTGTGCTTATGATTATTAATCCAGAATAGAATAAGAAGATTATGAAAGGAATAGGATTTGTACTACAATAGAGATAGTTTGCAATATATTATTTGGTTTAGAATGTTTAGGATAAATAATTGTTTAAGGATTTTTGTTAGGAAAGAATACTTATTTAAAGTCTGGGTGGAATATTGTTAATTTTGCAACATTTATTTCTACATGGGCTATTTTAGGTAATATTAATAGTAGTAATTAATTAATACATATCTTAAGAGTTATAAGAATATTTAGAGCTCTAAGATTAATTTAAGATTCAAAAATATTAAAAAAATAATTAGATGCTTTTATAGGTAGTTTTTAAAGACTAGGACCAATTTTAGTACCATTATTATTTGTTGTTTTATATTACAGCATAATTGGATTACATTTATTTATGGGAATTACAGAATATAGATGTAGAGAAACACCAGAACCTGAAAATGGTAAATGGATAGCTGTGGAAGATATTAAGCATTTATGTGGAATATGGGATTGTCCAGAAGATACTTATTGTGGTTCTTTGGCTGATCATGGATTACCTAGAGATTTTTAAGAAAATAGATATGAATAATTTGGATTTGGATTTATAAGATTTGATGATTTCTTTTATTCATTATTTGTTGTATTCACTTTTCTTACTATTATTGGATGGTCAGGAACAACATTTATGTTTTGGAGAGCTATGACAACATATGTTACTGCATTTTATTTTGTTTCATTAATATTCATTTTGTATTATTATTTAATTATATTTTAGAGCTTATTTATTATCTAATTTATTATTAGCATCATTTTATGAATCATTTATGGTTTTAAGTTCAATTAAATAGAATAAGAATTCAGATAATGAACAAGAAGCTTTGGAGAATGAAATAATGAAGAAAAAATAACAATAAATGATGACAAGACTTTAATAATTGAATGATTAGAAAAATTAGAGAAGAATTAAAAAAAAAAAATATGAAATATCATTATATTATGAAGAAGAAGAATAAGAAAATGATATTTTGGGTGAAAAATTTAAGTAATTTTAACATTTCTCAAATATTATTGTAAAATCAAACCTTTTTAATTATTTAAGTTGTTCAATGATATTAATTTCTACAATTGTAATTATATCTGATCATCATTAAATATCAGATGAAATGTAAATAATATTATTATTTAATATTTAGTTATCAAAATTTATTGATTGTAGATTTCATTTGTATTATATATTTCATTTTAGAATTAATAATAACTATATGGGGAATAGGTATGGAATAATTTAAAGAAATAATTGATATTTTTGACTCTTTAGTCATATTATCATAATTTATCTTGATTATAGTATTATTTTTTATGGATGAAAATATTATTATTAATTACAATAATTATATCAACTTTGTTAAAGCTTTGAAAATGCTAAGATTGGTATATTCATTATTTTTATATTAATAGATGAAATTTCTATATATAGCAAGAATATTTTATTCCATTTGTGTTTTGGCTCGTTGTTTAGTGTAAACATTATTAAAAATTAAAGATTTAATATTCCTTTTTATATTTTTAATCATAATTACTTCACTATTTGGATAAGAATTATTAGCTTATAAAGTAAGATTTGAAGAATTATCTAATGGAGAATTAGAGATATCTCATTCATAAGAAGGCATATCTGCTCCTATTAATTATGAGGGATTTGGTAATGCTTTGATGGCTGCTACAAATGTTTTTTATAATGAGGAATGGCATATAACAATGTTCATACATGCTTAAAAAATATGGGTATCTATATTATATCACATAATTACTATATTAATGGGTTAAGTATTATTTGTAAGACTCTTTTTAGCAGTTTTTTTAAATGAATTTTGTTAATAATTAAAAAAGATTGAATAAGAAATAAAACCAATAAATTTTATATTACAAAGTAAAAAAGCATTAAATTTTATTATTTAATTAATTAAAAAAAGAAGAAGATCTAAAATACATTCTTAAGCTCAATTACAATAATAGGTTAATCCTTAATCTAGATAATCAGCTAAAAGTCCATCTAGAATTTCAATGTTTCATAATTTAAATGGAATAAAATTATAAAAATTACCAGAAAGTACTAATAATGAATTAATAGATCAAAAAGTTTAGACTCCTTCAAATATATTTTGTATTATATCATATTTTAATTTTTAGCAAATAAAGAAAGTATGATAGATCCATTAAAAAAAGAAGATAAAATTATATAAAAAAATATAGATAATAAAAATATTTATGAAGATGATCATATATAAGATCATAATATAGATGAACATTAAAATGAAGAAGATATGGATCATGATTCAAGTTAAGATGAGAATTTGAAATCACCAGATGATCCATCTCATCCAGTTTAATCTAAAAATTTAAGTAAAAGTATTCGAAAATCTATGAGAAAGAGTAATTCTGAAAAAACACTATTTATTTTTGCTCCTGAATCAGATTTTAGATAATTAGTAACTACTTTAGTAACTAATATTTATTTTAGAATATTTAATTTTACATTAATTCTTTTAACTTGTATTAGAATTGCATTATTGAGTCCTTTAGAAGATCCAAAATCTGATCTTTCTTATGTTTTGTAAATTGGCTATATCTTTTTAACAGTATTTTACATATTAGTAATCTTGTTGAATTGTATAGCTTTTGGATTATACAAAACTGAATAATCCTTCTTTAGATAATCAGTCTATAATATATTTTCATTTGCTATCACTATAGTTGATTTAATAACTTTGATCTTTGATATTACACATCCATTAAGTAAATTCATTACTTCTCTTAGAATTCTATAATTTATTTAGATAGGAGCTGTATTTTCTAAGAATATAGCATATGCATAAGCATCATTATTAAATGCATTTACTTAAATGATTTAACTAGCAATATTTTGCATAATAATATTATCAATCTATGGAGTATTTGCACTTAAAATATTGAAAGGAACAATGTATTATTGTGATATAGATGATAATAAATTTAAGGAATTTATTTAAACATCAACTGATTGTTTTGATTATGGTGGATCATGGATAAATTAGATATTGACATTTGATACTATATTTTCAAGTATATTAACTTTATTTTGTGTTGCAACATCTGAGAATTGGATACCACTTTAAATTTAAGCTTGGAATTCAGTAGGAATTAATAGATAACCAATATAAAGCAATAATAGATTATTTTCAGTTTATTTTTAGATATTCTTTTTTTTAGGTTTTTTATGTTTATTAAATATGTTTATTGGATTAATTGTTAATGCTTATTAAGAGGCTAAGATGAAAGCATAAAATTTACATTTATTAGATGAAACTTAGAGAGAATGGTTTTAGATAAAAATGTAAATTTATACAATGAAACCATTGGTGAAATCAAAAAAACCAGAGAATTCATTAAGAAAACTTTTATTTTTTATGGTTAAATAAAAATATTTTAAAATATTTTGGTTAATAATTATATTTAGTAATACAATAATTTTGGCAATTCATTTTTAAAGATCAAATGAAAATTATAAATATGCTTTAGATATTGTAAATGATATATTTGTATCAATATTTGCTTTTGAAATTTTGTGTAGATTTTTTGCAAAAGAAAAACATTTATATTTTAAAGATATATCTAATATTGTTGATATAATAGCAATATGGTGGGCAATTGCAAATCTATTTATTAAAAATAAGGATGATTATAATTTCTATTTTAAAAGAATATCAAATGCTATATCTGTGGCATATTAATTATAAAGAAATTATAGAATAGTTAAAAGATTTAATAATTTAGAAAAACTATTTTCATCAATATTTTCAGTAATTCCAAATGCTTTATCGATGTTATTTATAATGTTTATATTTCTATTCATATACACAACTTTGGGTATTGATATGTTTGCATTTATTCGTACATAAACAAGTTTAAATGGATGGGATTAACATTTTCGTAAATTCTCAACTGCAATGTTTGCATTGATTAAAGTAGCTAGTTCAGAAAGTTGGTGGACAATTATGATTGATACTCTACATGAATAATCACCAAATTATGCTTGCAATTATATGTCTACATATGAAGAATACTTAATATATGGATTTAATGGTTGTGGTACTCCATATGCTTATTTATATTTTATATCATTCCACATAATTTTCTCATTAATGATTTTAAATCTTCTTATAGCATCTGTATTAGTAGCTTATGAAGAACATGTAAAAAGTGAAGAATCAGCTGTAAGTAAATATTAATTAAATGATGTGCTTTCATTATGGAGAAATTATGATCCTGAAGGCAAAGGATTTATAAATTATAAAGATTTTTGGAAATTATCATCAGAAATAGCAATAATATTTGGAGTAGCTTAAGATGATTTATTAGATGTTAATAATAAAAAGAACTTTTTAAAAGTTTTAAATATTCCAATTTATGAATCTAAAGAATCTAATATGTTATGTTATAAATTTCATGATGTAATATTATCATTAACTAAGATTTCAGTCACTCTTAAGTATGGAGTAACAAAGTAATTATTTTTATATATTATTATTATAGTCTTGAACCAACTGATAAGATAATATAATAAAAGTTATTAGTTTAATTAGGTGATTTATAACGTAAAGATTTTATGAATTAATTTACTCCTACAAGTTTTAATAGTGGTGATATGGTTGCCATTATTTATATTCAAAAGAAATTTAGACTATGGAAGAAGAGAGTATAGGTATTGAGAGAAGGAGGAGATGTTAAAGCTATTTATAATGAAATGTCAGATCTTAAGAATATGATTAAGAAATAGCTTGAACTTGAAGAATAATAGGAAAAATAAAATTGAATTTATTAATTTTTTATTGTTTTTTATAACAAATTTTAATTGAATGGCTGAAGACATCGATTAGAAATTACTTTAAAGATTTGAAATCATACAAAAAATTAGAAAGGTTTCTGGAGGTGTCATTTGGAAAGCTATAGATAGAAAAACTAATAGTGTATTTGAATTCATTAATATATTGTTAGTTGCTATTAAAAAGATTGATTATTCAGCTAATCCTTTACATCTTTTAAAATCAATGAGAGAAACAGTTATACTTTAAGAAATTTCAAAACATCCAAACATAATGAAAGTGTTATAAGTCATAAATAAAGGAAATGATCAATATACTATCTATGACTTTGTAGATATGGATTTGATTTCATTAATTAAAGTCAAGATACTCTAACCAGTATATAATTATTATATTCTTATAGAAACACATTCAAATAATATTATGCAATATTGTAACTGCTCTTTATTTTATACATTCTGGAGGATTAGTTCATCTTAGTTTGACACCATCTAAAATATTAGTTGATTCTGAATGTCAGATTAAATTAATAGGTTTTGGATTCTCTTAATTATTACCAGTTAAAGATCCAAAATATACATGTCTACATTATCTTCCACCAGAGATCTTATTATAAGGAAAAGTTAACACATCTGCTGATATATGGTCATTAGGTTGTATATTTGGAGAAATGTTGTGTCATCATCCATTATTTGTAGGCAATTCAACATTTAATTAAATTGAAAAAATAGTTGAACTTATTGGAAAACCTAATGATACTAATTTAAGTGAATTAGCACCTTATGTCTTATAAGGCATTTAACCAGATAGAAAAAAAGCATTTACAAGTATTAGTGATGATTCTACTGCAATTGATTTATTAAAGAGAATGCTTGTTTTTGTACCTCATGAAAGAATCACTTTAATTGATATTTTAAAACATCCTTATCTAAGTGAATTTGCAAATAAATGTGAATTAAAGAAAGCAATAGCTCCATTTTAGATTGAAGAGAATTCTTTTAAAGAATTTTAGAATATCTTAAGAGAAAGAGGAAAGAAAATTGAATAACCTTCTATTAATAATTCTTATAATTAATAATTAGATACTAGTAGAAAGAAATCATTTAAAGAATCCACTCCAATATCTGCTTTGAAATAAAAGACAGCAACAAAAATCAAAGTTAATTCTCCTATCCAAAGTCCTAAAATATAGAAATTATATTAAATTGATGAGAAATAGAGATGAAAACTAGTTATATACATTTACATTTATTAAATGCAATTTATATATTGTACTTATATTATATAATATCAATCTGTATGTTAAGATCCCTTTGTGGCACCAACACCTGGCTTTCCGTGTCTTGTTGGTTTATATGTCAATGAAAATTCACCCAAATATCTAATTTTATGTTTTTGCATTTCTATATTACCTGCCAATCATGTCAAACTTAATTTCTACATTGCTGAATTATCTACCATTATATACACCTACGATTGATCCAACCATTTCTGGGACAACTATTGTATTTCTTTAATGAGTCTTAACTGGTTTTGGTTTCTCTCCTGGTAATGTCTCCTTCTTAGATTTACGAATCTAAATAAATTAATTTTTATTCTCTACTTTCTTCATTAAGTTTTAGAAAGCATGCACCTTCTCTCCTTAATTAGAAATTCTTCTTCTTTGTCTTGCTCTGAATTATTCAACCAATTTATCCATGGGTAATTTAACAAGCTCTTCAAGTTATAAACCTCTGTAGGTGAATTTTTTAACACCTTTGAATTATTTATCTTATGTTTATTCAGCCATTATTTGAAAAATGAAAATTAAAGATTTTAATATAATCTAAAATAAATAATTATAAATAAAATTCATAATCATAAATAATAATAACAAAATTCATCATATATTCATTAAATTCAATATCTTTTTAGTATTTTATATTATGAATTTACTCAATTCTATAAATTGTTATTTCAATTATATATATAAAAAATAATTGGAAATATTATTTATAGAGTTTAGAATGAATTTTAAACAAATATATTTATATAAAGATCAATAACAATATTTAATTTTTTCTTTACATTATTCCAAATATATTAATCATAAAGGTTAATTTTTAATCAAAAATTAAAAATAATTAAGGGATTGTATATAATAATATTATATTAGGATATTGAATTACAATAGATTTATTATGAATTTACAAATATGTGATTTATGACAGAACGGGTTCTTCGATAAAATATTCAAGATGAAAGAAAATCAAATGAAATATTATAATAACAATAAATATGGGAAGTAAGTGTTGTAAAAGTGATTCTTATCGTGCAGAAATGCTTAGTGAAATTAAAAATTTTAATTTTAATGATCCTAAATAAGAATTTCCACTTGAATAAAGAGTTATCAGAGAACTAATGTTAGACACAAAAACAGTATACTAATTGTAAATATGTTTGAAAAAATTTTTACTTGAGAATGCATTTTTAATAAAGGAAGAGAAAATTTAAGTACAAGATAAGGGAATAACTTCAAGAATATCAGCACCACCATTATTAGATTAAGTTTGGCAATTATCAATTTTATATTCATAAAATTATATTGCAATTTGTAAAATGCTTGTAGGATGTATTATTGATAGAGATTACAATTAATAAAATATACATTAGAATATTCTTAAAAAGATGTTACCTGATTATGATGATAAAATGTATTAAATAGAATCTGAATTTATAATTTGGATAAATTCACATGAATTAGAATAAGTAATGATGGATATCCACAATTTTATAGTAAATGAAGAAATTTTATCATTTGAATTGATATTGAATTTAATGATGTAGATGAAATTGTCATTATGTAAAAAAGAAACAAATAAGTTTTAAATAAAATAAATATAAGATAAGAATATTGATATTGTATTCAAGAAAATACAGCAATTAATACCTAATGAATTAGAATTGATAATAATGCATAAATATTGTTTAAGTTAACAATTAGCTAAACAATATATTTATGAATATTGTCATTTTATGACAATGTTAAAATACTCTCAANAACACCTTTGAATTATTTATCTTATGTTTATTCAGCCATTATTTGAAAAATGAAAATTAAAGATTTTAATATAATCTAAAATAAATAATTATAAATAAAATTCATAATCATAAATAATAATAACAAAATTCATCATATATTCATTAAATTCAATATCTTTTTAGTATTTTATATTATGAATTTACTCAATTCTATAAATTGTTATTTCAATTATATATATAAAAAATAATTGGAAATATTATTTATAGAGTTTAGAATGAATTTTAAACAAATATATTTATATAAAGATCAATAACAATATTTAATTTTTTCTTTACATTATTCCAAATATATTAATCATAAAGGTTAATTTTTAATCAAAAATTAAAAATAATTAAGGGATTGTATATAATAATATTATATTAGGATATTGAATTACAATAGATTTATTATGAATTTACAAATATGTGATTTATGACAGAACGGGTTCTTCGATAAAATATTCAAGATGAAAGAAAATCAAATGAAATATTATAATAACAATAAATATGGGAAGTAAGTGTTGTAAAAGTGATTCTTATCGTGCAGAAATGCTTAGTGAAATTAAAAATTTTAATTTTAATGATCCTAAATAAGAATTTCCACTTGAATAAAGAGTTATCAGAGAACTAATGTTAGACACAAAAACAGTATACTAATTGTAAATATGTTTGAAAAAATTTTTACTTGAGAATGCATTTTTAATAAAGGAAGAGAAAATTTAAGTACAAGATAAGGGAATAACTTCAAGAATATCAGCACCACCATTATTAGATTAAGTTTGGCAATTATCAATTTTATATTCATAAAATTATATTGCAATTTGTAAAATGCTTGTAGGATGTATTATTGATAGAGATTACAATTAATAAAATATACATTAGAATATTCTTAAAAAGATGTTACCTGATTATGATGATAAAATGTATTAAATAGAATCTGAATTTATAATTTGGATAAATTCACATGAATTAGAATAAGTAATGATGGATATCCACAATTTTATAGTAAATGAAGAAATTTTATCATTTGAATTGATATTGAATTTAATGATGTAGATGAAATTGTCATTATGTAAAAAAGAAACAAATAAGTTTTAAATAAAATAAATATAAGATAAGAATATTGATATTGTATTCAAGAAAATACAGCAATTAATACCTAATGAATTAGAATTGATAATAATGCATAAATATTGTTTAAGTTAACAATTAGCTAAACAATATATTTATGAATATTGTCATTTTATGACAATGTTAAAATACTCTCAAACTATTTTAGTTCCTAGTGAAGAAGTAGATTAAGTTTGGCACACTCATTAATGTATGACAAAATAATATCGCTAGTTTTGCTATGCAATCTATGAAAGATTTATTTATCATAATCCTACTAAATTAGGAAATTAAGTTGTAATTTAAGATTTCTATTCACAAACACTTATATTTTACAAAAGAATTTTTTAATATGAACCTGATTCTTAAATTTGGCCTTGTAAAGAAGATAGATGGAATCCTTAAAATTGTTTAGGATCATGGGTTAATCTTTACAGATTATCAATGAGTATTATCCAATTAATTTAAGAAAAGTTGTAACCAAATTCTAAGAATATTCTCTAAAAATATTAAACTTGGAAGGGAACAAATGTTTTTAAAGATTAAACTTAAATCCATGTTGAAAAATCAATAGAAATGACACAAAGTGCTTTGTAAAATTTAGATTATGAAGTTGGTTGTTATAGTTTATCTGAATTAGAAAATGATAGATTTTCATCAAATCAAAAGAGAAATGATTTGTTTTTTAACGATGATGTCATCATGAACTCTATTTAGTGATATATGATCTATTGTTTATAATTAATTTATATTTCTAATGGAAAAAGCTTTTCTAACAATAGGCCTTGTTTTGCTACTAGGCACTCTTTACAATTTGAATAATTCTCCTTCTGTAGATTTGAAACAGAAGTATAATGAATATAAATAAATCTTCAATAAATAATATACTGCTGCAGAAGATTAATATAGATTTTAGGTTTATATGTAGACCTTAGAATAAATTGCTCTTTAGAATGCTAAATTGGGTAGATAAGTATATGGTGAAACATAATTTGCTGATATAACTGATGAAGAATTCAGAGAACAATATTTGACATTAAAATATTCCCCAGAAGATTATGCAAATGAACCAAGAGAATCATTCTCACATATAACAGCTGATCCTAAAGAAATTGATTGGAGATAATCTGGAGCAGTTACACCAGTCAAGAATTAACTTAAATGTGGATCATGTTGGACATTTAGTACAACAGGTGTTTTAGAAGGATTTTTCAAAGTTACTACAGGTGAATTACCATCATTATCTGAATAATAATTGATAGATTGTTCAACTACAGTTGATTTAAATTTTGGTTGTAATGGTGGTATGCCATAAAGAGCATTAAATTTTGTAAAGAGAAATGGTTTGACAACAGAAGAAGGATATCCATATGTAATTTATTATTTATATCATAATAGTAAGGAGTATAAGGTGCTGAATGTTTAGTAAAAGGTGGAGCATATAAAGTTAAAGGATCAAAAGTATTAGAAATATCAGAATGGGCATTGTATCAAGCATTATAAGTTTAACCAGTTTCTATTGGTGTTGATGCAGGAACATGGAAAAATTATAAGCCTGCTGATAGAGAAGTTTTTAATTATGATGAATGTGGAGATAATTTAAATCATGCAGTTTTAGCTGTTGGTTTTACTCCAACTGCAACAATTGTAAAGAATTCATGGGCTAATACATGGGGTTCTTCAGGTTACATTTATCTTGAAAGAGGTAAAAATACTTGTGGACTTTGGAATACCATGGTTGTTCCTATTTGATTAATATTATATAATAATCATTAAAGTCCAATAGGTTATTATCTTTGAAATGTTTATATAAACCTATTTATATTAATAATTATATAAAATGAATCAGATTAATCCAGATTAAATCTTAACATCAGAAGAGATCAAAGCAGCTAAGGATGCCTTTGAAGCATATGATAAAATGGGTTATGGTACATTGGAAGTGGAAGAATTATAAAAAATACTTGAAGAATTTGGACATAAGCCAAGCAAAGAGGAGTTATAATAAATGATTATTTAAGTTGATGTGAAGAATAAAGGATTTATAGGTAAAAATTAAAAAGTATGATTGAGACTTTGAGGATTTCAAGAGAGCAATTGCTATCTATAAGATCATTGAAGAAGATAATGAAGAAGATGATACATGTAAGTTAAGAATTATATTATATTAGTGGATGCTTTTGTTGCTATGGGAGGTAATGCTGATAAAAGTGGAACTGTAGATGCAACAAAATTAATATAAGTAAGGATAATAATAATAATAATTTAGATAATAAAATCTGATTTTAAGATGACAATTGATATTGAAGTAAAGATGCATAAATATCTACTTAGAGATTGATAAATGAAATGGATCGTGACAAGTCAGGTTAGATATCATATTAAGAATTTAAAAATCTACTCTCTGATTGAAAGATGAAGAATAATATTATATATATTGACAATTTATATGAGATTTGACTTATATATTTTCTAGATAATTGTATTTAAGATATAATTATTTGTTTGTTAATTTAACGATGTCAAAGTGGTTAGATATGGGTTTAACTTGTACATAAATTAGTTTCAAGACACAACAATCTGCTTCATGTATCTTAACATTTATCAATATAAGATTGTCCAATGAATTGTGTCTTTGAACTTGATGGACACAAATTGTATCTAGGAAATATCAATGCTGCAAATGACCCTTAATATCTTAGAAAACATGATGTTGGTGCTGTATTATCTGTCATTGACACTAGTGATATCAAATTAGAAAAGTCAGTTATTCATCTAGTAATTATATTCATTATTATTTTAGTGGATAGCAGCAGAAGATTGTGAAAAAGTTTAATTAATAAGATATTTTGATTAGGCCTCTAATTTTATATAAGACAATCTTAAACACACTAATATATTAGTTCATTGTTATGCTGGCATCTCAAGATCAAGTTCATTGATTATTGCCTACCTACTAAAATATTAAGGTTATTCATTAAAGGAAGCATTAACTAAATTGAAATGTTAGAGACCTTAAGTTGATCCAAATGATGGATTTTTGGAACAATTAAAATAATATGAAGAGAAAATTAAATAAAGCAAGACACGTCCAAATTCTAGTCTAAATAAAAGTGAAAGCAAATTTTTAAGTTTGAATTCAAGTGTTGAAAAATAGAATTAGATTCCAAAAGGTCGATAGAGCATTTCAAACTTCAATATTTATAGTAATCTTAATTCTTAAGTTACCAAAACTAATATTAGAAATCTTTAATTAACTACTATTACAGTTCCAAAAACTAAATCAAGCTTTTTAGAAAAAAGTTGTAGTCCTACTAATATCAACACATAAAATAACTAAGGAAAGACATTCTTTTCGAATTCGAAACTTGAAGATCCTTGGAAATAATACTAAAAAATAAAAAATTAAGAAACCGTATGGAATAAATCAATTTTAGGAATGAAAAATATTTATAACAATCACAGTAGATAACATTCTTTGAACCAATGAAAATTGATTATTTTCGTAAATAAGAGTTTACTAAATATAAATTAATAATATAATTATTTGTTATCCTAATTCTAACTCAATTATATTCAATAATTGAGAGCTATTATTTCTATATTTCTAAAGTTAGCAAATAGAATTAAGAAATAGCTTTTTAGAAAAATGCTTTTTTACTATATAATTTACTTATTGATAATAGATTTTAATTTTTAATTTTTGGATAAGTAATTATATGAAAAACTATTTTAATATTTGTAGAAACTTGAAATTGTTGAAGAAAGAAAGGAATTTCCAATCTCGAAATAAGCATGTCAAAGGATTTTTACTTTTTTATTATCTGATCACGTATTATATAAAGAAACTCTTTAGATTGTAGATAATGATTTTAAGTCTAAATTCATCCAATATTAGAGTTATAGATTAATAAATCATTGTTAAATATGAATCATTTGGTAATTTAAGTTAACAATTAATATTATTAATTGGCTTTTATAGCAAAACATAACTAATAAATATATCATAATTCATTTTTATATCCTTAATTATTTTAGAAAAATTCTTTTATTTTCGATTAAAAAAATAGATGCTAAAATGTTAATTTGAAGGTATTTTTGATATTTTTATTGAAAAATATATATATATATTCATTTATTTTTAGATTATTCTATTTTTAGATATTTCTAAATATTTTAGTGAAAGGAATTAATTAGTCTTTAATCTCAATAAAAATAATAGATCTATATTTTCTGTCAAATCTCTTATAAGACTAATTTAATGTTTACTCTTTTCTCATTTTGCTATTCATTTGTTTCTTTATTATAAAATAATTTATTTAATTGGTGAAAGAACTTAATATTTAAATTCTTATTTTTTCTTAATTTATAGCCATTACTTTATACAAAACCTACAGTTTTGATGGATAAATACAATTTAAGTATCTATAATGCTTCTATTTATTGAATAATGTATATTTTTGGGAGTTTATTTAATTATAATAGCTTCTATTTTCAGAGTGGATTTGCTTTTTCTGCATTTCAAACTCACAATTCAATTAATTTAATCGCTTTCTTTTTATTTATAAGCATCACTTTTCTAATTAAATTTTAACCACTCAAAATTATATTGATAAACATGAGATTTTTACTTCTTTCATTAGATTAGAGAATAAGAATTATATTAAATAATTGAACACTCTATTTATCGGTAATGATTATTCATATTATATATTTTGGGAATTTTAAATGATCTAAACAATTTGATATAGTATATAATTGAGTTGATAAAAATACTATTCTCAATAATAATTAATATGGTTGTCTCATTCTGATTTATTATCTTCAGTCATGATGTTGAAATTTATGATCAAGAAAGTATTTCCATTGTAGTAATTCATCTGTTATTTCTTAAATACTACCCTTTCTTGGCTTTCTTTTATTTTTAGCCTTGTTTAAGTCAGCTGTTTGCCTCGACTCAGTGATTTTTGGTAATTTGATTGGACTAATCTCTTCTTCGGCTGGACTATTGTCACCACTCAAAATAAATTTGTTTATGGCTTTAGATGGAAATACTTGCATTTTAAAATAATATTCCAATAGTAATTATAGCAATTAATATGAATAACTTAAATCTAGTTATTCATTTGAATAAAATAATGAGAAATAAATCAAAATTGTAAAAATGATTTTAGAAATTAAAAACCAAAACAAATTATTTTAATATAATATATTGTAATAATTCATTATAATTCTCTTTAGAAAAATAATTAAATTTAATTATGATTACCTCATATTCTTGAACAGCTTTTAAATTAATCTTAGAATAAGATCCAATATTAGAAGATTGATAATCCATTAAATATTTTTTTACCTACATTAACAAAGCCAGATATTATATACTTTTTGATAAAACTCTTAACATTATTTGTTGAGCAGCATATTATAATATTAATCAATATAACAATTTGTTTTTTTTATATTATTATTGTATAGCTATTTTAATTATTAATTATATTTTAAGGAATATAAATGCTGCTTTTCTAAGATAATTTTTGATCTATTTGGTTTTATTTGTTAGAGAATGAAATTATTATATATGAGATTCTCAAAAATCTGAGTTTCAAGCGACATAACTTAATCAATAAACATTTCCAAAAAAAAACAATACCTGATTTATGTAATCTTATTAATAAATAACTTTAGTAACTCAATCTTGATTGATTAATCAAAACTATGATTATACTTAAATCTCATTTTATTCATATTCTTAATTATTTTAATCTAAGTAAATTGAAACATGACATAAATATAAATATTTCAATAATGAATATAATAATTTTTAAATTAAACTTTAATATTATTATTAATCTTTATTTAATCAGACAGGTGGCTTTATACCTGAAACAGACTATCTAACAGTTGAACCCGAAGTTTTCACAACTGATTTGGTGACTGTTGTGGATGAAGTCACGATCTAAATAAAAAATTATGTTGAAATACCTTCTGTTTCTTTAATGCTTCTAATTCTATTTCTGCATTCATTAATTTCTCTTGAGTTTCACTATAATCATGATTAATTTCTTAAAATTTTCTCTTCCATACTTCTGCTTCATTATTGACTTCAGTAATTCTTTAAGTCACTGTTTCACTTTGAGTCTGTTGTATTAATAATCTCAATCTTTCATTTTCTTATTCTAATTCATTAACCTATACAATGTAAAAATTATTAATACCCTAGTATTATCCATTTCCTTCACAACTTCAACAGTCTTTTTCTTTTCCAATTCTGCAATCAATTATTATAAATATAACACTTCATCTCTCCATGGAGCTTCAATCTCTTCTCTTGATACTACTCCCAATCTTACAACAGCCTATTATTAAGGTGGACAGCAATTTTAAGTATTTGATCCACACTATATATTAGAGGCACAACCTCCTAATTGTATTGATTATCCAGGATTGAATGATGTTTACATTTGATAATGTGTAGATAGCACTTTACTTTAGTATGAATTTTGTTTGCCTTTTTTATGCCAAAATTAATAAGCCTCTGGTCTTTCTGATTTCAAATAGGTTGTGGTCTATTTTGAATTAACGAAATTTACATATTGAGTTTAAGGAAGAGTAACTTACTTTCTTTCTTAAACAGTGGATTCTTAACGAATTGTTGTGAAATTACTCATATCTTAAATATATAATTCTATAATTAATTATGGATAAAGTAGAATCAGATTGTGTACTCTGTATAGAAAAAGTAGACATAATTGCATTAGGTCATTGTAATCATAAGACATTTTGTTATTAATGCATGATTAAAATGAGAGTAATAAGCAAAATAAAAATGTGTCCTATTTGCAAATAATAATTAGATAAGATAATTCTCACCGACAATCTTAATGCTTAATATAAAGATTATCAGATAAATAAACTTATTCCAATTGCATATTCAGTATAATATTATTAGATATGACTTCTTTAGATGGAAACAAAGGATGTTTTTTATACTGATTCTGAAGATATTAAATCTAAAGTAGAAAGTCTCAATTAATTCAAATGTCCATTTTAAGAATGCCAAATTGAATAATAGATTAATAATTACAATCAATTAAGAAATCATCTAAAAGATTAACATCAACGATATTTTTGGTATCAGTAAATTTCATAATTATTAGTGAAGTTTGTATAGAATAAAAGACTTGCTTTCTTGTAGAATAGTAAATTTATACAGAATAGTAATATCGTCATCATTTATAATATGGAGATTATGATGAGGATAGTAATCTCATCTTTAAACATCCTTATTGTAAATATTGCAAGAAAAACTTTTATGATGAAGATAAATTCAAATAACATTTGAACATAGTCCATATTAATTGTAGTATGTGTGAGAATAGTAAGTTTATATTTTACAAGGATCATGGAAGTTATGAAAAGCATTTGAGACTATCTCATTTTTGTTGCGAAGAGATAGAATGTAAATAAATGTTAGTTGTATTTAAAACTTCAGGAGAATTAGATTTACATAGAAATTAAGTTCATTGTCATGATCAAAGAATGAAAAAATATAATCATCATAATCTTCAATAATTTGCTGGATTTTATGATAATAAAAAATAAATTAAATAATATAATGATAATGAAGGATTGGATTTTAGTGATTAATTTCCATCACTTAGATAAACTAATTTAAGAGCTGTTGTACATATTGATTAACATAATGATGAAAAAATTGATTTTAGAGACTTTTTATATGTTGATTATAATGATGAAATTGATAAATAATCTGATCATAGTGAAAAACTTCATTATTAAAAAAATATTGAATTAGAAGATATAAGAATAGTAAAACCAGCATCAATCCCTAGCATTAATTTTGATTATTTTTTGAGAAAATGTTCATTCTTTTTTAAAAATCAAAAAGGAAAAGAGGATTAAATTAGAAAAATGATAAGCATGTTTGAATAAGATAGATTTAGTGCTGAAAAATTTGTTAGTGATTTTATTAGAATGTTTGAATTAAAAACAGGATTAAGATTGATAACTTTTTATATGGCTATGAGAGATGTTAAAGAAAATAAAAGTAAATGGAAAATTCTTGATGATGCATATTTTAAAGAGTTATAAAAATTACCAAGAAGATATAATTCTATTATTATGAATTGTAACACTTATTCAGAATTGTTTTTAAAATTATTAGATGAATTGAACAAAAATTTAATTTCAAGAATTGAAACAGGGGAACTTAAAAATTATGCTGATACAATAATGCCAAAAGAAAGAATCTTTTAATTTATTGAAGTACTCAGACATGTAAGAACTTAAGAGATGGGTAAGTTTAAATTTGCATTAAATTTTGGTTTATTATAATAAGTATTAGAACACATTAAATAACACATATTATTAGATGATCTATCAAACATTTAATGTAATTTATAAATATATATTAGAACATATTTCAAAAATTACCAATCGTGATTTAGTTCCTTTTTATTTGTATGTAAATTTAAGTTCAAAGATATTGAAAGGGGAATAAATACACAAAGAATAGAAGGATGTTAATGAATGTGTTTATATGGAATTTTTCTAAAAAAACGATTAATTATTTAAACTAATTTCAAAACCTGATAAAGTTGAATAACCTAAATAATTATGCTGTTAGAAATAACCAAAATAATAAAATAGTTTAGAATTGGATACATATGATTTTCCAACTTTACGTAATTTATAGTTTAAATTGAATAGCAAAAACACAGAAAAAAGAATAGACTTTAGGTGATCAATTTTAAGTAAAAATTGTTGATCCTTAAAAATAATAATAGTAAGAATAGAAAAAAAAATAAAATAATTAAACTAAAAAAGGAAAATGGGAAGAAAGTGAATCTGCAATATTTTAAAATTAAACTATTGAAGATGAATAATTTCCAACTATTTCATCCCAACCAAGTATTTATTTAAAGTATAATTAGGTTAAATTTAATCCAAACAAGTAAATAAAGTGTTCGGAACATTTGTTGAGGATGATAGTTTTATTCCACTTACTACTTACTAACCTATTAGAATTATTGAAGGAACAGAATGGGATACAAATCCAATAGTACCAGTATTTAAATGTTATTAATTAATTATAGAAAAAAAACTAATAAATGAAAGAAGTTGCAAAGATAAAGAAGAAGAATAAGACAATCGTATAAATATCTGGTGGGTTTTGTTGATCTATAAAAACTTTTAATTGGCTGATAATTTAATATCATTATGATAACTCATTTTGTTAGATTTACTTTTAATATTTCTGCTACTTTTTAAATGAATTCTAAGGTATTCAAATATTAATCTCTTGGAACACTAAAAGATAAATATATTACTATACTTCATTGTATTATGAACACAAATGGCTAAATCCTTAGTCATAAATCCTTTTTCAACAGCTTCTATGATACTTGCTTCAAGAGTATTGCAAAATCTTTCTAATTCTTTATTATTATCTAATTTGGCTCTATGTAATAATCCTCTTGTCCAAGCATAAATACTAGCAATTGAATTAGTTGATGTTTCTTTGCCTTATTAATGTAATCTATAATGTCTTGTAACAGTTCCATGTGCAGCTTCAGCTTCTACACATCCATCTGGACTAACTAATACACTAGTCATCAAACCTAGTGATCCAAAACCTTATGCCAAAGTATCAGATTAAACATCTCCATCATAATTTTTACAAGCCCAAACAAATCCACCTTCACTCTTTATCATATATGCTACCATATCATCAATTAATCTATGTTCATACCAAATCTTCTTAGCATCAAAATCAGGTTTATATTTAGTATCATATAAATGTTAAAAGATATCTTTGAATCTACCATCATAAACTTTAAGAATGGTATTTTTGGTTGATAAATACAAGGGATATCCTAATTCAATTGCATGTTAGAAACAAGCATGAGCAAATGCTGTTATTGATTCATCTGTATTATACATAGCCATAGCAACACCTCCTGTTCCTTAAAAATCAAACACTTCAACTCTTTAAGGTTCACTTCCATCTTTTGGTGTAAATAACACTTCAAACTTTCCTTCCTTTTAAAAACGAAGATCTGTAGCTTTATATTGATCACCAAATGCATGACGACCAATAACTATTGGCTTAGTCCATCCTGGAACAAGTCTAGGAATATTCTTAATCAAAATAGGTTCTCTAAACACTGTTCCATTTAAGATGTTTCTAATAGTACCATTTGGAGATTTCCACATATATTTCAAATTGAATTCCTTTACTCTTGCCTCATCTGGAGTACTAAGATAATTAATATATTTAATACATTGTAGCACATTTGATTCCAACTTTACATTCTTGAATTGCCTTAGCACATTCAATAGTCACCTTGTCATCGGTCTTGTCTCTATTTTCCATTCCCAAATCATAATATTTTATTGGAACATCCAAAAAGGGTGTGATTAGATATTCTTTAATCCAAGCCCAAATAACCTTTTATATTTATTATATTTACTCTAGTCATTTCATCTCCATCCATCTCTACAACTGGATTATCAACCTTAATTTTTGCGTCCATTACTTATAATTTTAATATTATGATGCAAAATATGATGAGACTTTATGAATGACGATTATAAAATTGTTTAATAAGATATTTTTGATTAATTATATATATATATATGAATTTTATATTTAAATACAATTAAATTCTAATGAAATTGATTATCTCAAATAATAAAACTATACATTCCAAATGATTATATTTATATTTAATAAAATTCTTATAAGTTTATCATTTATTAAAATAAAATTTAAGCAGCTGATGAATTAATTATACATCTTTCACTAATAAATTACTTGATCCACTATTTTCTATTTAAATATAGAATATATATCATTATTTAATATTAAATAAATCCATTTAATAGGATAATAATAAATATGTTATATTTTCTGTTTTAATAAATTAAATAAAAAGTATCAAAGGAATCTTGAAGAATCAATTAAAAATCTAATATTAGAAATTTTATTTTTATATTGCTTAGTATTATTATTAAGAATTTATTTCATAATTTTAACGAATTATAAAATTAAGTTAATGTTAAATTCAAAATTTACTATGAAAAGAGAACCATTAAAAGAAAGGTTTCTTTAAATAACAAACAAACTAAATAATCTTGATATCAAATAAGGGACAAGTAAGGCTCATAGAATTGATAAGCTAAATGAGAGAAGCTATAAAATTGATGAAAGAATTAGAACAATCAAAGAGAATTACAATAAATAAGTTTTATAGTTAAAAGAATAAGTCTAAGAGCTCACTGATTAAATTGATTAGGAAAGACAAGAATTCAAATTATAGCATAATTAATATTCTCAAAAATTATCAAATTTGGAAAAGTTATCATATAAACAATTATAAAATGAATAAAGTGAAAGGACAGATGGAATCAATTAATTGTAATCCTACATAAATGAAAAGGTACTTTAATTTAAAATATATTTAGATAACTTTCATTAAATCAGATTTAACAATTGAATCAAAATTAAGAGAAGAATAAATTGATGAAATCTAAAGAGGTTTAGAGAATCATTTACCTAAAATTAATTAATAAATCAAAAGTGAAACAGAAGATAGATAATTATTTGATAAATAAATTTTGAAAAAAAGTGGGGTTGAAATGAGTAAATTATCCAATTAGTTAAATGATATTACAAGATAAACATTAGAATAAGAAAATGAAATAATTGGAATGTTATAAGATTTAATTATAAGAACTAAAGGTGATTTAAAATAATTGTCTGAAGAAAGATAGGAAAAAGAAGAAGAAATAGTTAATTTAATTGAAAAAACTTGTGATAGAATGGTTTAAGCATCATTAATTTGATTATTAAATTAAAATTAAGAATTTCAATAATTATCATCAATTCATTTTTTATGAGTTTAAATTTATCAGATTTATAATCATGTTTTGTTTTCATCAAATAATCCTTATTATACTTATATTTGTAAATAAACAACTTATTTATTTTAACTAAATAAATAAATCATCTTATGATTGATAACAATTTATTTAGTGAAAGTAAAATAGACATATCATGCAAAATATTATTAATTAGAGATTTAATTACAAAAATATATGTGTATTATAATAAAATATATTAGTGCATTATGGGTATTAAAATACTTTAATTAATTAAGTTTGTAAAAAGAAAGAGAGAGAATCTAAGATAATAAAGATTGAATTTACTCAAGTCACAGAAATAATAGGATTAAATTATTTGTTCAAAATGGAAATTAATTTTCTTCAAGTAAATGAAATAAATTATCATCTTCATTATATCCAATTTTAACAATTAAATCATGGAATATCTTCTTCAATACTTAAATTTAATATTAATCAACAACAATTTCTTAATTATGACCATGTTTTACCAAATGAAGAATAATATACAAGGCATACAATCCACTATAATCATAATTTAAACTGTAACCAAAACTATTAGTATCATTCACAACTCCAAATTGATAACTAAATCTCCCTAATTCTTCTCTAGGCTTTTTTAATTTAATTTCAAACTCATATTATAAAAATGAGATGATATTTTTCATATACGGATTCTTTTCTGGATTTATATATTATGGATCCTTAATCCTTAATGATAGTGAGGATAGTAAATAACAATAACATGTCTTCCTTTTAAGATTGATAAATACCACTGAATATTCAGTAGGATATTCAACTATAGGAACAACTAACCAATCGAAAATATCAAATATTGTTTCATCTTACCCAGTATATTCAAAAGTGAATTAATTAGCCTCAAAATAATTAATTCTAAATGTTGAATGGATTAAATTAAAGCATAATGTTTAATAAAATTATGTAGGAAATAATTTAATACTAGTATTATAGTGATGAAAAACATTATTATTTTTACGTTGATGTATTGATTTTTCCTCAAAAAATTTAAGCAAAAAATTAAAGATTAAATTGTTTACTTTACCATCTTTATAAAATTGTTACATCATAGGAACTTCAATTTTCATTCCATATCTTTTTGCAGCTATATTACTTTTTTGAAAAAATTCTGAAGTGTGTCTTCTTATGGTTGGAAGAGTAGTTGATTAATTTTTTAAAGTGCTTTCATCTTTTGATTTTGGAAATTCATAATCTACATTTGGAGTACTTATATCCATTTATTCCATTTATTTTAATAAATAATCCTATCTTTTTAAAAGAGTATTTTAAAGAGATTCTTCATTTTCTTCTCCTTAAATCATTTCATTAATCATTCTTAGAATTGATTGATCATCATGTAATATAGTACTATAATTTTATAAGTTAGAATTATAAATAGCACTTTAATTAATAGTGCTCTTATTCTATACAGTATCTAAAACTTCATCTATTGTCATTTTTTTTCTTTATTCTAAAAATTATTTTATTTTTCCATTAATTCTAAAAACTTCTTGTAACTTTTAAATTTCAACTTCTTTATCAACTTCATCATTAATTAATTCATGATAATATTCAGTCAATTCTTCTTAAATTTTGGCTAATCTATCTTCATTGTCCATAGATGGTTATGGATTATCTATTGATTTTTTCTTTTTATTAAAAAGATCTGAAAATTCTTCTTCATCATATTCTTCACTTCTCTATGTTTCAATAATTGGTTCTTATTTATGAAGAGCAGAACTATTTTTAGTTGTACCTACTTTAGTTCCAGATTACAAAACAGTCTTTTTCCCAGTAAATGTTCTAGATGCTGGTTTTGCCAATTAAATTGAAGTCTCACTTGTTTAGGATTTTGGTGATTGATCAGATTATGGTTTGCTTTTGCTAAATAATGATGATTTTTTTGATATTGGTTCTTATTATTCAGACTTTTAATCTGAAGCAACTGATTTAGATGGAGAATTCATAGGTGATTATTAAGTTGCAGTTTATTATCTATTTCTAAATGAACTTACAAATGTTTTTTTTTATTATGGAGTCTATTCTTCAATATTTTTATTTGATTTCTATTGAGGTGTATCATTATTAGTATTTGTGTTATTTCTAAATCTACCAAATCTATTACCTCCTGCTTAAGATGGAGTATTCTAAACTTCACTTTATTAAGTTTATGCTTGAGGAGTTTATGCTATTTATGGAATAGTTATTCTCTTTTTTGAGGCTATTTATATTGATTTTTAACTTGAAATAGCAGTTTACTACATTCTAATTAAAGCCCAAATCAATTTTGGTCTCAATTATCGTTTCTCTGAAAAACCAAATTTAATTTTATCAGGTTGAATCCCTTAGGTATATTACCAAAGCCAATTTATAATATATTCAGTGCCATCTGTGCTATCTGTATAACTTTAGAATATATAATTTGGTGCTGGATTATTGTATGTTACTAAAGATGATATCAATTTATCAAAGGAATTTTTCAATTCATCTTTAGTGACATTTTTATTTTATAAATCTACAATATCTAAAGTCTTTTAAATCATATGATAAATTGCAAACACCCATCTCGTATTTTTAATATATTATAAAATGATTAATCTTTGATTTTCTGTACCTTATCTTCTCCTTGGTTTAAAGATTACTTCAAATTCTTCACATATTTCATCTCCATTTGCTACTACAAAAAATGGAATAAGAGGTGTTTTACTCTGTAAATCAAAATAATATAAATATGATAACCAAAAGGCTATCATGTGAGGTTTTGATTTTCCAGATTTTTATAATAATTCAAAATCAGCCGATTATACTTCAATTCCTGTCCAATATCCGGTTAGAAATGGTTCTAGATTAGCCATCTAATATTATTTAATCTCATTTTCATTCCATTATGTTAAAGCTGGTAATACAGGATAATCAACATGCTATGACTTTTCACCTCTGAAAAATAACCATAGTAATTGACTTTTCAATTTTACTTTATCATTTGGCTACAGTTTTACAAATGATTACCCTTTTACTATTGTTTAATACAGATAATTTATAATGTACATTCCTCCATCAGTTGTTTTATCTTCTTAAAATATAAAATTGATTGTCTTAAATGAGACTTTAGCCAATCCTGTTTTTTTTAATAACTGTTCATATGCTTTTTTTAAATCATCCTTTGTCTTATTTTTCTATAGATCCACAATATCTAATATAGTTGTTTTTAAATTATAAATTCCAGTCACCCATCTGTCATTCCAATAGAATATTAGAATGTAACTAATAGGATCTCCCTTTTGCTGATTTTTTCTTAATAAAGGATTCAATTATTCTACAAGATCTAACATTTATCTTTAATAGGCTAAGTAATATTAATGAACTGTTTTAGAACGCTTTTAAAGGTAATTGATAAAGTAGATCATACTTTTAAAATTCATTTTTCCATCATTGTTCAATTTCAACACATCATCATAAGTAATGTGAACACCCAACACTAAATCATCAATGAACATAATTTCATCTGGTGCTGTCGTCAATTATTGGGCTGATTCTGAAAAATTTTCATATAAATCATTGAATTCCTCATCTTCAAATTCACTTAAAGAAATATTCATTTAAAATTATAAAAATCATAATGCAATAGTCTCTGTTATCCAAAATTCGCATAATACAATTTAAAGATTTCTAAAAATGAAACCAATACAAACTTTAGAAGTATTACAGATATGTAATGGTAATCAAGTTCATATTCAATTTTCAATTAAATTTACATCAAAAATATATATATAGATCAGTTTTAAATACTTTATTCATTCTAATTCATAATGAGCTGAGTAAATATTCATCATTGTGATAAATTATAGAAATTTTCATTTTTACTATTACAATTATAATTTAAATAATTATGGGTTTTGAGAACAATCTTCATAAATTCTTGGTTTGTGTAAAATTATATCATCTCTATTTATTGTCTTAAAAATTAAAAGTGTATTTTGATGATATTGTTTATTTTGATAATTTATAACACTAAAATTTATTGATTGTTCATAAGCACATTAAAAGTAAAATCATTATGAATTTGTATGTAATATAATAAATTATATTTAGAGTAATGAAAAAAATATGATTGTAAGAATAATTAAATATTTTTATCACTGAAATTAATTAAGATTATTAATATTTATGGGTATTCTTAATAATTACATGTATAAATGTGAGTATTTTTAGATTTTGTTTATTTAATAAAAATATTGTAATGATATCTGAATTTGATTTTAACTATTATCCACTCTAATTATACGATTTACAGATTCCATTAACTTCATAAATATTATGTGAAAATTTCAATGAGAATGAAGCTTCAGCAAGAAAGTTAAGGGTTAGCTCCTAATGTTTAATTTAAAAAAAGTATGAGATATTGTTCTAAACTTCTAGAAAAATAAGGCGTAAGCAAAAAAGACCTTCATTATTAAAAATTGATGAAACCGCGAGAGATGTAAAAATTTACAGTTTGGGTCCTAGCTAAACTAATTTAGAGTGTACAAATGATGACTAAAAATAAATTAACGACTGAGAACCATTACTAAAATTAAAATATCATTGATCTTGATTAATTTAAATATTATATTATACTTTATAGATTGGGATCACTTATATAAGATTTGATAATAAAATATTACAAAATGAACTTAATATATAAATATTATTACACAAAAATGAATTAATAAAACATTATCGAATTCTTCCCAAACTTATTGGAACAGTTTTAATCCATCCTTCTCAATTTATACAGAAATGAAACCTTACAAAAGTATCATAGCATCATTCAATAAATTAAAACAAAATTTCCATTGCCAGAATAAATGCCATAATTTATCTATCCAAATGTTGAATAACTATCAGAATTCTTTCTTCAAAGCTATTAACCAATCATTTTAGATTTGGCTACTCTCTATTAAAAGCCTAATGTGAAAATCAAGTTATACAAAAATGCTGTTTATTTTGGAGAAATATATCAAGAAATGAGATAAGGATAAGGAGTTCTTATAAAAGAGAACAATTAAATTTATGAAGGGTATTTTGCAAATGATAAAAAAGATGGAATTGGCTTTGAAATATTAAAAGGAGATACATTTTATCATGGTCATTACGTTTAAGGATTTCCTCATGGAGAAGGTGTTTATAAATCTATTTCTCATTCATATATTGGTTAATGGCAACATGGAAAGAAAGTAATTAATTTTTATTATATAATAAGAGTGGAATTGGATGGTGTGTAGGAAATAAAAATGATTATTTTTTAGGGAGTTGGGAGAATGGAAAATTTTATGGATTTGGATTACACATTCATGATACAATGTATGATTTTTATATTTAAAAATATATAGTTATTTTGGTGAAGTAATTAATGATTTAAAATATGGTTATGGTGAAGAATACTTTCCTGAAGGTGATATCTATAAAGGATAATATAAGAATGGACTACCAAATGGTAAGGGTAAATATATATGGAAGAATGGAAATTCATATTAAGGTGATTTTCAAAATGGTTTGAGATGGGGAGAAGGATTTTGGGAGTAAAAAACTGAAAAAGGCAGTCAATTTTATAAAGGCTAATATGTTAATGATAAAAAAAATGGTCATGGCCATTTTCATTATTCTAATGGAACCGAGTATATAGGTGAATTTAATGATGATCAAAGACATGGATTTGGAGAAATTATTTGGCCAGAAAAAGCTACTTATAAAGGGTATTGGAAATAAGGATTAATGGAAGGAGAAGGAATATATTCTTATGAAAATAATAAATTATAAGGTATTTGGAAATAGAATTAATTGATATCTTAAGAGAAAGTTCGAGTCTCTCTAAATCAATTTCCTTTGCTAAATTAATTAAAAGATATTGTAGAAGATGAAGAAATTTAATCTCAGATTGCTGAGGAACCTGATCATGAAAAAATAGGTGATATTTTTAAAAAGATCACTCTCTAAAGCAAGACGAGTTTATGCATTTCAGATACTTCAAAATTACCTTAGCTTACATCAATTTAAAAATAATCAGATTTATTTATTTATGGATAGGCCAGTTCGTATCCAACATAAAGAACTAATTAAACTTCTTCGATTGGTATTTAAACTGAAATTAATTCAACTAAAAAAAAATTAATTACTGAATTACCATATATTTAGACAAAGAGAAAACATGTTTTATCAAGTTATAGAATGGATAGTAAAACTAAGATCACTAAAAAGAATTTGAGTGAATCTGTTACAAATACTAACTCTCCTAATACTAGAGAAAGTGAATTTAAAAATAATATTATTCATTAATCTTAAGAAAAAAAATCACGTAAAGTAAAATAACGATTATCCTTACTTACAAAAGTTGAAGAAAAAGTTTTAAAAATAAGACTTGAGAAATAAAAATTAAGCCCTTATAAATTTGAAAAATTATGGAGTAAAAAAGTACATCAAGATTCCTTATTATATTAGGTTGTTAATTAAGCTAGATCTTTGATATATCCACCTGTATGGGTTCCACCTTCTTTACATCCATAAATATGTAGAAAGTTTTGAGAACAACAATTGATTGTTTTTTGTAAATAATTTTCCTAATATAATTTAAAACAATAATAATAATTAATTCATTAATTTGGATCATTAATGTTGAGTTGACGATGATCTGAATTATTAATCTAATAATAATAAATTTATATTATTTACTGTTACTATGCAAAAGTTGATTGTTATATTATTGCATTTATATATTATCACCATTTCCATTATAAATTGGAATAGATGCATGATCTTTAAGTAACAAACTTTCATTATGATGATTCTTTGGCCACAATATACCATCACCAACTGGTCGACCTCCTTCCATTTAAATTGGTAGGAACCATGACAATTTACTCATTCCAAATACTTGTACCCAATTGTAATATGGCTTCAAATCATATTAATTAAAATCATCAGTTTATTATCCTGTCTCTTCATTTCTTTTCTTTTCTAAGTTTTCTATTGTTGTTCTATTACTTAATACCAATTATAAATGGAATTTAAAAAACATTGTTATTAAACATGATGCTAAACAACTGATTCCAAATGCGCATAATAATAAAAGTCCATCAATAAAATGCAGATCTCCTTCTGAATTAAGGTAAAGCATAATATTTTCAAATTCCACATATATACCATACCCTAATCCAATTACAGCACAATAAGAATCAAGAATAACATAAAATAACATTTGCATAAAAAACTTTCTATTTTAGAATCCAACACAATTATTTATCCAAGGACAATGATGATCCATATTTAACACACATCGATTACATGCTGAACAATGCTAATTATTTTTTATTAAAGTATTATACATGACATCTTTCAGGTTTGAAAATGTGGCAAATTAAACAAAATTTTCTTTTTTTTTATTCAGGATCATTCAAGAAAAATCCCCAATTTTATGGAACTCTTCCAGGGTCTGTAAACATGGTTTTAAATAAGCTCCAACCTAATAAAGTTGTTAATATTGTAAATATCAACAAATAAGGAATTCTATAATTTGAACCTATTTTGAAAAATGAAATTCTTATTTACTTCCAATCAAATCAATCCAAACTACTTTAACATTAACTATGTAGACAAACACTATAGAAAAACAAATGAAGTAAATGAAAAATTTATTAAGGTACTTCTTTATCATTCTTTGATAAAAATAATAATATAAATTCAAATTATATAAATTTCATACAAGAATTATATATATTTTTTCACTCTTTCATTTACTTTGGATAACAAATATCCAATAATCTTTTAATTTGTTTCGTCTAATTATTTTTATATATTTTTTCTTATATTTATGTTATTTAATAGATGTAATATTAAAATTTCATTAATGAATTATAAAGTTGAATCAGCTGATGAATACTTAAGAAGAAATAGAATAATGGAATTATTCGAAGATCTTTGTACTAAAGCAAGCTACATTTAACCTGAGAATTTGGAAGAGTTTTTTGTTGAAGACTTAAGGATTAAATAAAAATAAGGGTATCTATATTAGTATAACGATTGGTTAGATTCATGACTCCAATCTTTACAAAGGCAGAGGTTTAAAATATTTTTGAATTATTTGATTTAAAACGTGATGGATATATTACATAAGAGAATTGCAGAAAGGCGCTATTAACAATTGCATCATCCCAAAAATAATAAGAAATTATTGAAGCCACTTAAGTATATAATAAAGCTTATTTTCTATAGGTAATTGATGAAAAAGTAGATATTAATAGATTTTAGAGATTGGTTGAATAATTTTTAGGATGAATACTCTAACACATTATTAAATTATGATAATATAAATCTATAAATTAGGAAATTATATTAATAATAATATAAATATATATTACTCATCTCTTAGTAATGAATAATACATAAAATGCATTTTATTGTAGAATAAATGACTTTCGAAGATAATAAATACTATTGTATTTAAAAGAACTATATAATTTATAAGTTTTAATTTAATAGGTGTATATATAGTTGTTTTTTGAAAGCATTCAAGAATTTTTAAATAATGGAAAAAGATAAATAATTCTTAAAAGAATTAGAATTGTCTGCTTAAATAGAATATTAGCATTCAGATGTAAATTTATATTAGTTATGTGAAATTAATCAAAATCAGATTAAAAATCTTCATTAGAAGATAATAGTACAATAAAATAAAAAATGTAAGGTAAATTTTATTAATCTTTTGATTAATCATAAATGGGTCAAATTAAATTTTGAATGATAATACTAGATAGGTATCAAATTCTAAAAATGATATTTAAAGCTCTTTTATAACTATTTGATACTTCATAATAAACTAAGAAACTCACCTTAGTATTAGAGAAATAGATCAAAAATAAAGAGACAAATAACTCAATCCTAATTAAGTTTGTCTCATAATAAATCTAATTCGATTTTTTAATAAATCAACCTTATAATGGTTAAATAAGATTTGATTTGAATGTTAAAATTGTATGGATTCCATAAATATTACTAATAACATATTATAAATATAAATTGACCTATTTTAATCTTAATAAATTTAAGCAACATATTTAAATAAATTTCTATTTTTTAACTAAATTTTGTGCTCATTTTGAATTTTGATTATAAATTAAAACTTATAATTAATTTATATTGTAAATGTAATTTCTTAATCCCAAAAAGTAAAAATTTTAGTAAATACAGAAATAAGAGTTCAATTTTCAGCTACTTGATGAAAATAGAGTGTTTATGACAGGAACATTTACTGCTTTCACTGATAATGTGAAATAGTACATAAAAGTAATCCACTTCATTATCAGCATAGTAAAACGATGGAAGTTTTTAAAATTTAGATGGAGAGAAAGGTTGGATAATTCCAATAGGTAATTATTAGAATTTGATAACTAATGTAAAAAAAATGAATAATATTAGCTAAAATCAGAATAGTCAGAAGTCGTAATAAAATAATTGCCGCAATTATTGTAAAAACTATAAAATCTGAATATGAAAGAAATAAAGTATTTTGAGAATGGTTAATTGGTTACCTTAAAGTATGATAATTAGATACGTTATGAATAACTTGATAAAACACTAGATGAAACATTATATTAATATCAAAGAGATTGCGTTAAATAAGGATTAAAATTTAATGGTAGAATTTTGATAGCAGATGATATGGGTGTTGGTAAGACAGTGTAATCTTTGGCTCTTGCAAGTATGTATAAATAAAATTGGCCTCTTTTAATCATGTGTCCATCACCATTGAGATTAAATTGGTAGGATGAAATCATACATTGGTTAAAAATCCATAAAACAGACATCCAATTAATTAATTGTGGTCGAGAAGGTATAAGAATGAATGCAAAAATAGTAGTTGTTTCATATGATATTTGTGCTAAAATAAAAGATGTAAATATTCAAATAAAATTTAGAATTTAATGAGTAGAAAGTTTTAAATTTGTATAGCTGATGAATGTCATTATTTAAAGAGTCCTTCAGCAATAAGAAGTCAAGTATGTGTACCAATTTTGAGATAATGTATGTAGACAATTCTATTAACTGGTACACCTGCATTATCTAAACCAAAAGACTTATTTAATCTATTGAATATAATTAGACCTGATATTTTTGGTAATTTCAAGGAATTTGGATATAGATATTGCGATCCAAAATTAAGTAGGTTCACAAAAGGAATAGATTTTGATGGAGCATCAAATTTAAAAGAATTGCACTTTTTATTGAGAAATTATATCATGATTAGAAGATTAAAGAAAGATGTTTTGAGTTAATTACCTGAAAAAAGAAGGGTTAAAGTTAGAATTCCAGGAGAAACGAGTTAAGTTAAATAAATTGGTGCGCTATTAAATTAATTGGGCAATATTGATATTCAATAACTTATTAATAAAGATGCAATCTTTTAGGAATCAAAAGATTAAAGTGAATAATTGCTCACAATTAATTCAATTTTATAGAAATGCTATATGCTAACAGGTTAAGCAAAAATAAAGGCTATAAAGGATTATATAAGTACATTGTTTGAGAATGAAATTAAATTTTTATTCTTTGCACATCATTAAGATGTATTGGATGCTGTTTAAGAGTATTGTATTCAAAATGAAATCTAATATATGAGAATTGATGGTAATGTAGGAGTTGAATAGAGACATTTAAATGTACAAATGTTTTAAAATAATGATGAAATTAGAATAGCTATTTTGAGTGTTACATCTGCAAATTATGGAATTACTTTAACAGCAGCCTCAACAATAGTATTTGGTGAAATGCATTGGACTCCTGCTATCATGATGTAAGCAGAAGATAGAGCACATAGAATTGGTTAAGTTTAATGTGTTGATTGTCATTATCTAATAGGTGATGGAACACTTGATGATCATATTTTCAATAAAATTGAAAATAAAATGAACACTGTCTCAAATTTTATTGATGGATAAAAATAAAATTTAGGAGCATTAGAATTTTCAGCTGACGAAGTTTTGGTCAAAGGAACATCAAAACCCACTTTGATTTCAGATAAAGGTTAATCAGTTTTACAAGAGGGATATGTACAACCCTCAATCTAGTCTTTAACAGAAGATGATATAGAAGAAATCTATTAACTATTAGAATCTAGATCAAAAGAAAAATAAGAATAGTAAGAGGCTGAATCTTAATTAAAATTAAATTAAAAAAAAAAATAGGTTGAACTTTCTAGCTAAGTCAAAAATTAATGTTCTACATTAAAATAATAATTATTGGATAAATTTTTGACTAGCAATAAAGTTAAAAAAGAAGTCATTGAAGATAACAAAGAATTTAATAAAATTTAAAAGGTTATAGAAGAAAACAAATAATTGACTTATGGAAAACTACCTCAGAAATTAAGTTATGAGTACTTATAAAGTAGATTAAATGGAGATAGCAAATCAACTGAATCAGGATAAAAGAAACTTCTACTTAAACTCACGAAGTAATAACCAAGTCTTAACAGCCAAGAAGATGTTATTGATTAAAAAGTTAACTGATTTATTATTATTTATTATTTTTTGTTTTATAAATTAATTTGGTTACATAATCAACAGTAGAATTTATCATCCTTTTATCAACAATATAAGAGAATTTATTGCTGCAAAAGATCCAACAATTATTCCAATTATCATCAAACAACAATAAGTTGTCCTTTATCTTACTGGTTAATTATCATAGAAGTTCTTTTTGTAAATTACCAATGGGAAATAGAATTATAGAGCACTTCCAGAAAATCCACCTACTAGAGATAAAAATACAGCAAATTAAGGAATAAACATAGCGATTAAGCTTAAGAGAACAACTTAAACCATTCTTATTATTATTCTTTTTCTATTTGCTGAATCTTAGCTTTTATATATCTAAAAATATTGATCCAATTATTACATAAGAATTAACTTTATCATTTCCTTCCAAAATTTGAAATGCAGGCAACAATTAAACTGGGAATGAGAGTAATAATCCAATTGCATAGCTTATTTATACAACAGCCATAAAAGGATTATCTTACAAATTAAACAATACAATTTGATTGATATCTATTCCATACCCAAATCCACACACCAAAGAAAATATAATAAATAACAAAACAACAGCAATTGTAGTTAATTACAACAATCTTTAAAATTTCTCCTTCTTTTACATTGAAGATTGAATGTTTAATAACACTCCAACAGCTTCAAATGAATATATAGAGACTCCTATCATTGTAGATAATCCTGAAAAGTCAATCAAATGGTATTTTTTAGGATAACTCTCATTAATGATAGCTTGTATAGCTGAAACAATTATCATTACCAATGGAAATACTATTAGTCCATTTGCTATTGCACTTACTTTTGTAAACACTGCCATATTTTATATTAGTGTCATAGGGAGTAAAATTAAAAGGGCTATTAATAAGTAATATAATTAATGCTGAAATGTTGAGGTATCATTACCATAGAAAGCGATTTCGAAAAACTCCATAAAAAAAATAACATAACTTATACAACATCCCCATTACATACTTCCAACAATTAATTTACTAAAAGATCTATATCTTGCACCCAAAGTTATTTCTATAAATTTTGAATAATCCATTAACTGATTAGGTTGTCTATATTTATCAGCCATCATGATGAAGTTCACTTACTAATAATTTATGAGCAAACTTAGAAGCACAAAAACTATTGTAGATAGAACATAACCTCCTTTGGCAAAGCTGTAAGGCAATGCAAGTATTCCTGAACCCACAAATGTTTTAAAAAGAGTTAAAGTTGCTCCTTTGTAAGATGATTGCTTTTTTGGTGCCACTTTTTATTATTGAATCTAATCAAGAGTTATTGGTTTATATTCCAAATTGATTTCAATTTATGGAGCAGGCCCTAATTATTTCTCATCAAGGATATTATTAGATCCGAATTCATTGGATCCTATATTTTAAGATTAAATCCCTGCATTATATTATTTCTCGTCGAGCATAGTATTTATTTTAATAATTATTTATTAAAGAGTTTGTTAACTTATTTTATCTTAATTCCAGATAATAAGTCATTAAAGATTTATTAATATTCTATTAATTTCAACCATAAATTAATTTTTATAACAATCAGTTCTAACTGTTAAGATAGTGCAGATATTATTCATATCTTAATGGTGATTCTCTCTCATTTTTTCTATCTTACCTTTAATATAAATAATTCCATGAGCGTGGCATTCAAGATCAGGATTATGAGTAACCATAACCATAGTGCAAGGAATGTGATTAGATTCATCATAGCCAAAATTATTTAGTTTCAATAATGTATCCATGTCCTCCACAGTTGATTTTGAATCTTAATCTCCTTTAGGTTTATCAAATAATAAAATTTAAGGTGAATTTGCTAAAGATCTAGCTATAGCTACTCTGTACTATTCATCACCAAATAATTATGTTATGACGGTAAATGATCCATTCTGTCCTGTAAACTAACACTTTTTAGCAGTTGTCTAACTCTTTTTTTTTTATTTCTCTGACTTTATTTTATTAAGAATGGATTACTGATTTGGCTAGAACTCATAGGTTACTCAACATTTTCTTACTCTGTCATTGTGGCAATTAAATTAAATGTTTAGAATATAAATCCAATAGTTGTTAACCTAAATTCACTCAAATATGAATCTTTTGGAAACTTCTTAACTTCCTTTCCTAATAATCCTATTTTATTATTTATAAGTAACTTATTGTGCCATTAATAGGTGTATATATTGTTCCTACTTAATTTAAAAATGTTGTTTTTCCACCACCAGAGGAAACTCTAATAATTACAAATTCTCCCCTTTTAATAGGATAAAATTCATAAAGTTATTTTAATTTGATTTCCTTAAGAGCATAAATATTCCCATCTCTCCCAAAAAGGTTAAATTATTTAAAATAAAAGATAGGATACTTTTTCGATAGATCTTCACATTCAATTACATTCTCATCTTGTGGCCCAATTCTTTTGGAGGCAAATTATATATGTTTCTAACTTAATCCATCATCATTGCTTCTCTGGATATCCAGTAAATATTATTGATAATGTAAAAAATAATTTTTAATATTTCTTTTGTCTTCAATTCTTTAGAATTAAGAATTTCTACTTTTAATAGAATCTAATAATAAAATTTCAAAGAGAATGTAAGAAATATTGATTGAATAATAATGTAAATAAAAAAATTGAAACCAATTTAATTGGATTAAATCAATTCCTATCTTCAAAAGTAACTTTATAATTAGCTGAAATCTAATATCTAAGTTTTAATTTAATCTAGTTAATACAATTATTAATATATTTTCATTATTATTTGTATTTTAATTTCTTTTGAGGCATTCACTATATTTTTTTGAATAACTAAACATTGCTAAATCAAAGAAATAATGTTATTTTTCAAATTTATATCCAATTAAATTTTATTACTAGTATTTACTGTTCTGGGATAGTATTTCCCCTAATTTATTAACTATTACATTATCTAATCTTATCTTAGTCAAAATTATAAATCTAAAGTATTTTGATAATTTGACTAATCAATATCATTGATCATATAATGAGTAGCACTTATTAGTTGTTCTTCTTCATCTAAGAGATTATTTTTTTTGATAACTTATTGATTATCTACGAATGTAAATGTGACTCGACTTATTATTTTTTTGATATTTCTTCTTATAATTTTCCTTTCTTCTATTTTATTATTAAAAATTTTCAAAATTCTTTATCTTAGAGCTATTTTCCAATTATAGCTCTTAAACCTTTTTATATGAGTTTTAACTGAATGAATTTAAAAATTTATACCTTCATTTTCATTTAATATTTTTAAAACCGACTTACAAATTATAACAAAATTAACATAATTTACCAGTAAAATAATTTACTATTAGAAATATTTTTTTTTGAAGTTAAGGCTGAATGTTTTTCGGGTTTTTCAATATAATAAATTACTTCCCTTTTTATATCTTATCAAATTAGCTAATTTAATTCTCAAAATTTAGCAGTCATTTGATAGAAATATAATAAAATTGTTGAGTGCCATATTTTCATTTTGAAATTAAAATTTAGTATACATTACTAATTCTTCTTTATTCCTCTTAATGTGCTCATCTTTTTGTAATTGTATTTTATTTATTTGTTAAATTTAATTAAAAATGCAAAGAAACATGACTAATTTTACATCAAGATCATTAAGGAAATGCAACTTAAATCATATAGATTTTATTATCTATCCAAAATGATATAGTTTGGGTTGTTTAGATTGATTTAATATATTTTATAAAGTATTTAATAAAATGGGGCTTTGGGCTTGGACATTAAACTAAATGTTAACTCCTAAATTTTGGACTTTAGTTTGAAGAGAAGGTAGTTTAAAGCCAATAAATTTAAGGATTTTGTTAAACTGATATTAGAATGCTCAGAGCTTAATCAAGATCGAGTCATTATGCTGGAGATTAAAATGGGCCTATTTAATGTGTTGAATAAGATTAATATGGCAACAAATATTATGAAGACTTTGATGTGACAGATATTCTTTGTGGACTAGAGATTTTTAGATAGAAATTAAAGAAGATAGGTCAATAAAATGATTATTTTAATCCATGGCATACTCTTGATGATATAGTTCCTCTATTATGTCATCATGGCAAATGTCTATGATGAAGCTCCTTCCAGAACTTGCAATTCTTACTTTGTTTAGCCATTTTATTAAAAACCTGCAACAGATAATCAATCAAAAAAACTAAATCATTATTTCCCTCAGGGAACAATGATAAATTTGAATAGATTAGAATTTATGTAAAGTCGATTATGACAATATTTCAGCCAATACCATAGAGATAGAAGAGCTACTCCTTCTGAACCAGGGCAATCCTAAAGGTTTTGAGGAAAAAAAACACTATTTGTTGAAAGAAAAATTTTTTAGAGGATGTAATGTCAAATAAAGAATGATTTAATAACAAATATCTTATAATAGATAAGCAGATTTTTTTTTTTGAACTCTTAAATAACTAATTATGGGTACACATGATTTAGAGGACGCTGTGGAGTATCAAAGTTCAGAGGAGATAACTATTTATCCAACTTATGAACTTCGGAGAGGTAGTTTTATTCTAAATACAGGAATCTACGCTTTTGGTTTTAATGAACCGTCAGCAACAAAGAGATATTTTACAAATAATAACAAGAAGAGATGTTATAGTATAAAGCTAAAGGGGTACAGAAGTATTTAGTTTACCAGATTATTACATTGTGAATTATATAAGAAGAAGATTTCTATTATTCTAATTAGGGAATCCTAAGTGTTAATCTTATGGAATACAAGAGAGTTTGCAGAATAACTTTCAAAGGTAGCTATAATATAATTATTGTGAATTGCTAGATATCAAAAACTATTTTTTAGTCTTGTTTTCATTTATCTTTTAAATCTTATTCCAAATAAAGAGTAATAAGGGATATTTAATAATCAAAGAATCGGTAGTTTCTTTCACAGATTTTCTATTAAAATTCTATAGTCTGACTTATATTTATGTTTGATTTATTAACAGAGAAAAGAACTCATTCAATAATACAATGATAGAACTATTTGGTTATATATCTTGATTAAATTTTGAATGCTCTATTATGATTACATTAGTAAATACAACTTAAAGGAAGTTAAGATTTAGAAATATCCATTCTGATAGTTTGATATATGATGGGTTATTTAGCGAAATGCATGGTCTTAAAGTGGATTGCAAACACATTGTTAACTAAATAAAAAAAGTCAAAACTGGATGGTCTTTACCATTTTTTGAATAGATTTACCATAATTTTAAGGAATTGCAGAAAGCTGGTCAATATTATTATTTTTTGAAGAATACAACCTTTAGATTAGATGAAAATACAGCATAAATATAAGTATAGAGATGAATATTCTCCAGAATTTGAACAACTTAAAAATATTGCTCCTGTCTGTTATTAGGAATTTATTGCCATGAATATAGATGTATGCCTAAAGATAAAAGCCTTTATAATCTAAAAATTAAATTTATATTGAGTTTATAATACAGAAAACTTATATATATTGAGAAAAAATTGATTCTTTTTCATATGTAACTTATTTCATATAAATTAATTATAATGAATCCATATAATAGGCATATTATATTGACTCATTATAAATTTAATCATCATATTATAAATGCTTTTATATCTTTATGCAGACAGATATAATAGAGTAATCAATGCTCCAAAAAGAGGAATAAAGAAGGTATTTTTTGAAATAAAAGATAAATAATAAGTGGCTCCTAAGAAAATGAGAGAAAGGGAAAGGGAGATTTTTCAATAATACAATAGGAGTTAAATAATCCAAGAATGAATGAAGTCTAAAAGGGCACTGATTTGGATTAAAAAAACAGCTCAAGAAAAACAAAATGTTAGTGAATAAATGAAAATGATTGATTCAAATTTTGAATCAAAAGTTATTGAAAACTAACCAATCAAAATGAATCTATTATATTATGATATCTTACTTAACAATGGTTTAGTCTTGAAATAATCATTTTTATAACCACCAGAACCTCACATCTATCTAATGCTTAATTATTACAAATGAGGCAGATTGCAATAAAAAATCCTAATTTTGAATTTAAGTATTATTGCCTATTATTGTTCAACTATGATATCATAATCTAGTCCTAAATTCAGAGAGCTATTTAATTCTTCATATATCTTAATTACATTTGAGAGGATTTAAGTTATCAAATATGAAATATTCAAACGTTTTTGAACTTTATTTAAAGCTTATGGGTATTTCATATTAAAAATAGGATGTCTAACACAACTAATTGGATTACAAAGATATTGTAAATAAAATTCTTTATAAATGTTAAAATGTTCATTCTAATATGATTTATTCACCTTAAAGAGGTTAGATGGTGGTAGTTTTTCGGTAATTCTAATTAATCTAGTTTTATCATACTTATTAAAATTCTCTTTCTAGTTATCTCAACAATTTCACTTAAAGCTCATTGTAATATTTTTCTTATCTTGAAAACTTATGTAAACGTAATCCCTAAAATATTAATATTCCCTTACTTTTTCGTATTCATCGCCCAGCCAAAGATTTTCATTTATTAGTGGATTTAATTATGAATATAAATCGTTATGAGCAATACTCTTCATTAAGACTTCACTGGTTTGATAATCTAAGGACTAATTTATAAAAATCCAATCGGAAAAAAAAATCAAGTAAATGAGTAGAAAGGAGAAAAAAATGAATATATAGAAAAATGGGCGGGTTGTTAGTGATGTTTTAAGTACATTTTGGATAATTTGATGAGATGATGTCTAACAAATTAAAAGAATTAATATAGGTAATTTTAATTATTCTTTTTCAAATCTGATATTTTCTTTAACTCCATAATTAATAAGTTAGTACTTTTAAAGCCAAAAGATAATTAACAAAGCTATTAGAGTCATAGGATAACATATGGGATATATATAACCATAATAGGAGCATAAAAAACATAAATGAACTAACTCAATATATCGTTCATTAAAGTTCAATTTTTTTTAGGTTAATTAGTTTGCTTCAAATTATGTTAAAGTTGAATTCTGTTTTAAATATTTGTAATAAGTGTTTTTTAATAAATTCAAAGCATACTATTTATCTATTACACTAAATATCATAATTGAGAAAGAATTAATCAATATGATATAAATAATATCTTCGTTGAACCCCCCATCTCTCCAAAATTTCAATTTACTTTCATATTAGTCTTTTTATTCAAAAACTGCTAAAGGAAATACTATAACATTCATTAAACCTACCATTATTATCAAAAGTTCATAAAAATACCAAGGCATTCTCTTATATTAACCATATTAACTTATTATCTAGCACATTCTTAATTGTAATTCCATACTAATCTTGAAAATAATAGCCACACATAAGCTCAAAAGTGTATTTCTATTTAATTAATATCCAGAATTTGATTAAGTATACTCATCTTTTGCAATTTCAAATTAGTACAAAAGATAAAATAAAGCCAATACTATTATGAATAGGATAATTTCTAGTAGTAAATTCTATTTTTCAATTTTATTAATCCATTTTTCATCCAAAGGCCTTGGACAATAAATCACACTTTATTTATCTAATACCTCTTTAAATTTGATAGCCTCTTTCTTAAAATGACAATATTATAATTACTTAACTAGAGAAAGTTATAAATCCTGTATTAGTAGATTTCAAAAACAATTCTCTATTTTTCAGAATAAAAATCTAATTAACAATCTTCCGTATAACATCTTTCAAAGAGCTAATAATTATAACTAGTAGATATACATATCATTATTTTGAGAAAGGATTTCCTTTATTTTAAGCTTTAATTAATTTTCTAAATGTTCTTGATCATAAATCAAACTACAATCAATAATGTTTAATGGTGCACTGTCTCTTTTATATTTATTAGCTACAAAGAGATTCATACCTTCTTTTTTGTTGCAATTACTAGGCAAATTTTTGATCTTTAAGGAACATTTTTTTATCGTAAACTCACTATCAATCTAGCGATCTATACTATAACAATCATTTTTAGAGTATGAGATGTATCGAAGGAAAGCTAATTGGATAAAAATTGATATAGATTATAAAATGTCTAAAATTTAATCCTCGAAACTATCATAACAGTATAATATACTCGTAAGAATCCATTCTATTTAAAATTGATAAATAATTGTTCAGATTCTATTTACAGGTTTCATTCTTAATACATGAATTTCCTTTAAAGTTCTAGATTAAATTATATATTCCAACAATAATACTATAAATAATTATTAAAAAGTTACAAATTTATACTAAGAAGGATAAATATATTTTTTATGAACAAAAAGTATTTGTATACAGTACCATGTACAATAAATGCATTTATATCTGTAAAGAGGGAATACTTTAAGGTTGAAATATATAAATTGCAACAAGGACATTTTTATGAATTACTTATGACTTCTTAATGAATGATTTAAGCTTTCTATATGTAAAAAATATTTTATTACGCTGTGATTCTCTGCTTCTAAGAAGTTTGGTGGTGATTTTAACAAATCTTCTTCCTCAACGACTTCTGATCCGTTGGTATCCATTTTTAAATTAAATTATTTATTCATTATAAATTTTTAATTTTTATTACTTTTCAGGAGTTCCAAAAAGATATAATTTGATCAAACTTGCTTAATCTTTATAATAAAGGTTATGGGCATTTTCCCAATCGAGGACAATTTAACAGAATGGGCAGATACACATTCCTTTGCTCCAGTTTTGGTTGTACTCTTCTGTTTGATTATTCAAGGAAAACAAGTATTTGCAGAATTATATGCTAAATAGGTCTACTTCTAATCATTAGTCTATAGGGTATATCCATATCTGATTTTCAGTAGAACAAGTGGACATGACAATTTCCCAACAGTTATTCTTGAGTGACCTGTAGATATTGATACCACTGTGCGCCAGGAAGGTGTTTTCAATTTTGTCGATACAAGGATCTTGACTTTATTTCTCATATGCTTTGATAATCTTTTCCTCTGTTAATACATCTTAATATTTTGTGCCTTTTTAATTATCAATCATAATTCAACCATCTAGTCAAGTTCTTTTACATGAGTTTCTTTCTTATTGAGGAAAATAGTTACATACATAGTTCTTTAGTTTTATTCTTTTTATATATGTTAAGTAAAATCTCTCTTTAATAATTAAGGTGCATGTTTAGTCTCTGGAATTAGGTGGGAGTTTAATGTAATCTCTCTAATAGATTGATGCTGTTTATATAATTGAATTTTTTTGGAAGTCCCTTCCTTTCAAACATCAAACTCTTGATCATATGTTTTGGATTAGATGCATCCGGTCAATAATCAAATAAAATCTTCAATTTTACCAATTTAAGGTTCTTTAACTTGAAGTTTATACTCTTCTAATGATTTACCATCGTCTTGAGTAGCTCGAGCCAGTTAGAGGTCATCAGTCTAATGTTAATTTTTGGTTTATATATTAGTTCTCTTAATTGGTTGTTATGGTTGACTGTTGTCTTAAATGATGATGTACTCCTCTTAAAACTAAGGCTTAGAGTCGGTTGTCCACTTTCTAAATGAATTCTTCTTAGCGGGAGTCCTCCTTTTGAATTTTACCTCCTTTCACATTTCTGAAATATTCACACCAGTTTGAGGTTATTAATTTACTTTTTAATTTCATCCTTGTTGAATTTTTTTAATAGCTGCATATATGTATTGCTGATCTATGAATGGTGAAGTCTTCTACCTCCTTATATATCATTATTGGTTTTCTAATTGAGAAGACATATTAGGCGCATCTGAACATCTCGAAGATGTGTTCATTAAGATAAAGGTATATTATGATGAAATTTGATTGCGCATTCTGACAATTTTTGGGGTTTGGTTTTTTACGTAATTAGTAATAATACCTAAAATTACTTAACTTAGTAATGATTGAATTTTGGTCGCCCTTTACAAAATACTCAAATTTTACACATTTATAGAATTTATGATATTCCTAACAATCATTAAAATATAAAATAAGTAAAAAATTCAAAGAAAAAGTGAAAATCATGATTCTATAAAACTTTAAAAATAAAAAAAATTGAATATTTAAATACAATAAAATTCATAAAACATAAAAACCTAAAAGGGTTTGGGTTTGGGTTTGGG